GTTCATCTTCTAAGCCAGGTTCACTACCTTCATTATCTATTTTTACATCAAATGGATTAGCAAACCATTCGGGAACATGCATATTCTCCAAATCTTCGAAATGTGCTTTAAGTCGTCTCTTAATTTATCAAGATGTTTAATGTACTGTATATCTCCAAATCATGGTCAGAAATCTTTTCATTTTCTTTCTTTCTTTCGTCTCCTCCCCGGTTCATGTGGAGATTATATATTTCATTTTCTTTTAGTACTCACAAGTTTGAAAAATATTTAAAATTGGATCGTGCCAGTGAAGATTTAAATAGCTCCATTTTCACTTGACAGGCCATTATGATTGTTCGAGCTCGAACAATTGTAACGTTTTTTCCTTGCAAACGCTTCTGTACTATATTAATGATCTTCGATATATTACGATATTTTCTCTGTAAAGGACAAAATATCTACATTTAGATATAAAATACTTAGAGCGACAACCCTACTAGAATGTAACTGTGCAGTGTAACATATGTCTGTGTATAAATGAACTACCAGTGTTCGTAACATGTTTGTAACACTAGTACAGTTGTCAGATGAGTGAAACCAGATAGCACATGCTTAAAGCGGCGTAAGCTAAAGCAAAACTCAAGTTATAACTAGGGTAATCAGTAATGTTGTTGATCATATCCGTATTTCGAATTTTTATTGAAATATTCTATATTTTTCCTAGACAGTTTTATTGATCCTCTTTGGTATTAATCGACCCCCTTTCGACCCTCGTGTATTAATTGACCCCCTTTCGACCCTTGTGTATTAATCGACCCCTGAAGAACTCTTATCGACCCCAAGGGGTCTATATCGACCACTTTGGGGACCCCTATTCTACATCTTCTAGTCCTGCTGTATCAATTAGATTGAGTTTGGTCAACCTAACGATACAGCGATAGGCTCTTCTCATTGAGAATTCTTGGATACCTTCAGCCATAACTTCTTCCACACTTCATTTGTGCATTTATCAGTTAATTCTTGCCAAATGAAGTCAATATTTCCTATGGTATCCAGGATGTTATATTTTTTCCAAAATTGCACCAAACAAATATACAAACATAGATTTAAGGGAAGTACACCTTTTTGCCACCTTCTGCTGATTGGTTTGTGTTTGCAAATAATCGTATTATATACGAATCAATGAAATGCCGCAATAATTTAAATCAGCATAAATTTTGAGCTTTTTAGATTTCGAGCAGACTGCATTATATCGAATCAGCTTTAAGTGGGGTCTTACTGTATTTCAAATCAAATATCCATTTAGTTCAAGATTTTTAAGCTTTTAATTTTTAATTAAGAAATATTTTATTTTTTATATTAACTGATTTGATTACAAAATCCTCTAATTGAAATTGAGTTATATTAACCTCATCCCATGTTGAAATTTTTCTCTGTTGCATGTAGTGCCATGTTGAATTTTTGTCGATGTTAAGACTAACAAAAATTACACATTTTTGAAAAATAACTGTGGCTATTGTATCATCCGAAATTATTTTTTTATTTTTCACAAACAAAATATATATATATATATATATAGATATAAAAGCCCTGTATGACCATGAATTCTTATTAATGATATGTAGTTTTAAAAGAATAATTTAAATTTGATAGGTCTCTTAATATCTTAATATAAACCTAACTTTTCTGAATTATTGTTGCATAATGATGATAATCTCTATCACTACTCATGATTCAGAAACACATTTCTTAACTTAGATCAAAATTTATCAGAAATAAGTCTTATAGTAAAATTTTTACAATGATTATTATATTCCCTTATTTAAAATTCTTAAAAGTACAAAAAAAAAATGCAAAAAACACTTTAAAAGTACTTACTTATTTATGAGCAATTTATGTAAACACTGATATGTGCAAGAAATTACAAAAATTGTTTCTGCTAAACAGTCAGAAACGAAATAAAAAAACAGCCATAGTTCATCATTTCAGTGGTTTGTTCTCTCTGTAGGGATTGGTAAGATAAAGTGAGGAATTACAGAAGACATTCTAAGTCTTTTTTGCTGAAGTCTTATATTATTGAGACTTATATTTTACAAAGAATTATTATTGATTATGTAAGTAATTGTAAAATTAATACAGTTGACATGAAAATTATTAAAAGCTACAGCTAGCTGTGAGCTGGTAAAGAGATGAAAAAATGAAGAAAATCAATTTTTTAAGAAATTTGAGCTTTGTAGTCCAAAAAAAAAATAAATCAAGATTTCAGACTTAAATTAATGATAATATAAATAAGAATTATCAGTTAATTAATGATAATATGAATAAGAATTTATCAGTTTCTTAACTGGATGCTTTCATCCAGTTAAGAAACTGATATAAAATTATAGAATCCAGTTTTAGATTCCTGAAAAAGGCCTTTGGGGTAGGCTGAAAACATTTGAAAAGTGGCATTTGATTCCTGCTGGACTTGATATGAGGTTTGTGGATCCTATAATTTCAGATCTACAAATATATGCAAATAACCTTGCTAATGAAGCAAAAAAATTAGAAAAGTAAAATTCAATTAAACAGCATTTTACTAATCTGTAGAAAAGAAGAAAATAGAATTAGAATAGATTTATAACAATCATAAATGCTAAAAAGTTAAGAAATCCTACTGTTTTTATTTCAGATAAAAAAGTTTTTAAGATCAACTGTTTTTGCATCAGATGTCCAATGTTGTTCTAATTTGAACTTACGTTGATGGCATTCTGAAGTAGTTACATAAAATTCAAAGCTATTTTATCTGTAGGATCGTTTAAATATGCTTTAATCTAAGTGCTATTTTAACTTACACAAAAATAACATTAATGTAAAATATGATAAAAAGGCATTAAAATAAAAAAATATATAACAAATTAAAAATTTTTAAAAATAAAGTAATAGACTATTTAACTGATCTAATGTTAAATAACACATTTAATAGAAAAATCTTTTAATAATATAATAATATAGTATAATAGATCAAATTAAAAATAAACAATACTCTGGAGTTGCTGAAAAACAATGTTATTCAAAAATTCAGGACACATCTGAATATATTACAAATATATATTAAAAATGTAATTGAGTATGAAATACAAAATAAAAGACGTTCAAAATATTTCATTTTGTATTTTATCTTTAAATATAGTATTTTTAACATATATTTTGTAATATTTTTAAATACTGTTAGTTATACAGTTACAATATTTAACAAAGAGAAATAATAAGCTCCTGTTTTATTTTTATAGAAAAAAAGATGTGTTAAATTTTAAGATTTAGATGAATCTATTAACAGATAAACATAATTATCTATACCTTTTGTACTTTTTATAAAATTTTATAGTATCTGTTTGAAGTAATCTCATGCTTCTAATACAAAAAATATGTATAGTCAAGTAAGTATGTAATAAGATTTAAATATAACCTTAAAGTAAAGTGGATTTAAAGGCTGTTGTTGATTGTTAAGATAGAATAGAGTCTAAAATATTAATTTATAAAAGTTAATCTGTAACATTCAGGGTAATTTCTGCAGTTTTGAGTGATTCAGTATGACATTATTACAGGGGGATGCAAAAGTACATATACAGTGTTGTTATGGGAAGAAAACATACAAGGAGAAAATAGAAAGAAAAAAACATATATTTTTATGTAAAAATTAAATCACAAATAAGGAATATGAACTAATAAAATATAATAAAAATAATAATAATGAACACCAAACATTTGTATTTCTCAGATTCTCAACTGTATACCTACTTTGCACTCCCCTGTATAATTCCTTCAGTAGCTTGTATTTGGTTTGGATTTAGCATTTTTATCATCTTGACAATTCTGGAAAGATCTTGATAATTTTTAAAAATCAGGATTAAGATTGTTATCAGAACTAATTCAGTCAGTCTTTTTTTAGTTCTTCATTATCAGTATTTCTGGTATCTAAAAATCTTTGGAGTATTTTTCTAGTCAGTCACTTAGAGACGGAATGCACAAAACCTTAGTAGGTAATGCCTATCAGCATCCAGAAGCATGCTATTCTCAGGTGCATAAAAATAAGAGATATTATGATAATAAAACTACTTTGTCACTTTTCTTCTTCATCTCATTGTTCAAGAAAGAATAGAATAAGAGTAATTCTGGAAATAAATATAATGAATAATACTTCTTCAGAATTTCAGATATTTCTGAATAGAAGAGAGAAGAATTACATGAATCCAGGAGAGATACTTGAATTTCATAAAAATTGAATCCAAAAGAATAAACAAGTCAATGCCTGTGATATTTTCTAAAGCAGATAAAAGATTGAGTTTTGCTTTGTGTTTCAGAGAACATTAAAGTAATTAATCTTCAGAAGAATTGTTTTGAGATACTCACTATATTGGCTAAACACTTTATAATCATAAGCATGTATTTTCTCTCTTAGCATTGGTTGGTTCCCATAAATGTTTCAGTAAAGAAAATCTTTTCATGAATAATTAAACTCTCCATTGCTTTTATCACTAATTTTATTTTATTAAGTATTTTTATTTAATTATTTTGATATATAAAAGATATACAATTATACACAAATAGAACACAAAATAGAATTTAAGAACAAATTTAAGTTAAAAATAATAAAGTTTTACTTTCTTTTGTTTCTTCAGTCCAGTACATCTGGATATATAATATTTGATTGTTGCTTTTAAAAATTATAGTGTAATATAAAATTATTTAAATATCAGTTTTTTTTCTTGTAAGAAATTATTCATTTATATTTATTAATTATTTAATTTCATCAGTGATTAACTAATATTATTCTATCTTTTGCTTTTTTGTAGTATTTAATATTAAAATTAGAACAACCAGCTATTGTCCATACAATTACTTTTGGAAAATATGAAAAAACTCATGTTTGTAATTTGAAAAAATTTAAAGTGTTTGGTGGTTTGAATGATGTAAATATGATTGAATTATTAAATAGGTAAGGAATGAAAATGTATGAATTTATTTAATAAATAGTTATTTTGTTTTTTAATTTAAAAAATGATTCTTCCAGTGGTTTGAAAAATGATCATGTGCCTGAAAGTTTTAATTTAAAACATTCCATTAATAATAATATGTTTCCTTGTCGATATATAAAAATAGGTAAGAGAAAATTATTAATAAATTTGGAATTTTTCTTTTTGTACATAGTTATTAGCTTTTTATTTTCATATTTTTTTAGTAAATAAAATAATTTATCCAACATTTAAATTTATAACTAAATGACAATATAATTATTAATTTTAAATTATGATTAGTTGAAGTGAAATTTTATTACAACTAAAGATATTCAACAATTATTAAATATATTCAAAAATATTAGTCTTTAAAATACAGTAGAGCATCGTTTATCCGAATCAGTTGGGGAATGAGGTTGTTCGGATAACTGATTATATACGAAAAAATATATTAACCTATCTCATGTTGAAGTTTTTCTCCATTGTGTGTCGCTTCGCGTTGAATTTTCGTCGATGTTAAGCCTAACAAAAATTTTTATAATAATNGCAAAATTATACAAATACACAAAATTTATATTTGTATTTATAAATATTAATAATGTAAATTTTTCTTTGATTTAATATTTTATTTTATTATTATATTGACAAGTGCATTATTCCTTTTTAATCTACAGGATATATTAAAAAGGATCATTGCATATAATAACAATATTCTAAGTACATTCTATCACCTTGTGGTAATTGCTACTTCTTGAAAAACTTTCTTTAATAAATTTTACATATGAATATCATTATATAAAGTATATATATATATTTTTTTTATCAATCTTTATGGAGAATTTTTTTTAGAAAAATGCTACAATTACATACATTCCAAGTAATCATAAATTGGAATGTAAACATGGGGAAATTGTCAAATACTTGAGAATTCTAGTACATATTTAGACAGTGATTCAGCGGCAAGCGCAACTATCGACCGTCATGCGTGGATAACGCTTCAAAACAACATTTGTGTCCTCATCAAAATATAAAAGAGTCACTGATGATGTCATATCAGGAACACAGCACGGCGGGGGAACATTTGGATCCAAGCTCAATGAGTGAACCAAACTCTGGATGGTTGCATGATTTGATGGGAAAAGATTCTGTTTTTAATAAAATAATTAATTAATTAATATTAAAAATTATCTAAAAGTTACACAAATTCTGCTTTAATCTATTGACTAATTGCATAAAGTCATGGTATATTTAGTGACTCCATATTTGTACAATTATCTCTTGTGGGTTCCTAGTAGAGAATTCTTGTTTGGATTCTCATAAAATGAACATACACCATCATATATCCCAGAACTTACAAAATACACTGTCACAAAAAACATCATTATATCATTTTCAATATTTAAAAAAAAATTTTTTTTAATCTGAGAAGATACGAGGGCGGTTTTTTCAAGCTCTGATGGTCCATAAAACAAAGACAAGTGTAAATAACAAAATGAATTTATTACCAAAAGTTAGGTACAAACATGGATACTTTTTGACGTAATCACCGTGAAGACTGAGGAATTTGTCATAACTGTGGAAGAGTTTTTCCATCCCCTTGTCATAGAATGTTGCTGCCAGTGAATTGAGATGGCCTAAAAAATGTTTTGAAGATCATCATACATAAAGTATACTGAAACTTTCTAGCATATAGTGCTACTAATGTTACTGCAGCCTTGCCTGAAAACAAAAAGAATATAAAATTAAGAAAGTAGTGTTAATAATTACAGATAAGGCTGCAGCAATATTAGTAGCATCATATGCTAGAAATTTCAGTTTACTTTAGGAGTAAGATTGCCATCAGTTATAAGCATACTGTGTGTGGTGACAAATAAAAACTAATATATTGGTAAAATCAGGAGTTTATGCTTTAAAATTAATGAAAAATATTAATACTTCTACTATATAGCTTCCATCATTCATTCTCTAGATATTATTAATAGATTAAAAGATTAATATTGAAATAAAATTAAAAGAAAAGAATGGACATGCAGTATTTACCACTTATTTACAATCAGTTAAGAAATTTGGAAAAAAATGGTTGGTCTAGAACAGTTTTATTTAAATCTAGTGTTGACAATTTTTATCAAAAACGTGTTCAGTATTTAGACCTTCATTTATCCCACTTTGAAGACATTGATTGTTTTAAATGGATCAGTCTTAAGAATGAGTTTAAGTGGCAAATTGCACAGAAAAGTTTTGACCAAATTTCAAAATTTTGTGATAAAATAGATTTACTCTATGTTCACTTTTAGAAGAAGTTAAAGAAAAATTTCCCATAAGATTACTAGAACAGATTTACTTATCCAAATACTTAAACATAATTAATGCAGCATCTATCAGGATAGCTGAAAGCCCACTATTAAACAACAATTGACCTTATGTGATTGTCAATACTAACAGATTTTATGTAACTTTTAGATTTTTTAAAATTAAAATTAATTTAATTAACTTCTATTATTTATTTTGTAGTTTAACAGTTATAAATTGTCCACTAATGTATTGCTGTGGTTTGATTTGGTTTTATTTGATGTTTCATTTGATGATGTAAAAATTTAGAAATAATTTGTGGCCAAAGCTGACTCAAGTAGAGTTAAAAATAAAATGACCAGATATAACAGTGTAGAATGCAAGAGACTCATCTGAAAAAAGAAAATCTTTTATTTTCACAAAAATTAACCTATCCCATATTGAAATTTTTTTTCGTTGCGTGTGGCTGCCATGTTGAATTTTTGTCGATTGCACAGAAAAGTTTTGACTACATTTCAAAATTTTGTGATAAAATATATTTACTTGATGTTGATAAGCAAGAAATGGAACTTTTTGATGAAATATAATATATGAAAAAATATAAGAATAATATAAATCTAAAGTTCTAAGCTGAGTGGAAGTCTTTATCACTTTTAAACACCCAGTGTATAGCCCCGATTTAGTGCCAAGCAACTTCCTACACCAATAATTGGCTTCTGAAGTTGGTCCTTTAGCTTATGATACGAATTATTAGCAGTTCATCAAAATTTACATTTGCTTTATCACAAATTAGTCTTTTAATAACTCCACCCTTATAGTAAGTATATAAAAATGACTATAAATTTTGATTATGATGCCCTCAATATCAATAGGAAGTTGATCTGCTGCTGACTGAATAGTATTATGCACTATATGTGCAACACATCCTACACCAATAATTGACTTCTGAAGTTGGTCCTTTAGTTTATGATATACATTATTTGTCCCTTTTCTTAGCAGCTCACCAAAATTTACATTTGTTTTATCAGCACAAACTGCTCCGACTTTACTCTCTAAATTATTTTCCTTTAATATTTCAATAATTGAATTAGAAATTATTTCAGAATTTTCCTTTGAAAGTGATTAAAAAATCTAAAAGTTTTATATTTAGATCTTGTTTATAATCAAAAAATGAATTAATGGTGAAAATTATTTGATTTCCTTATCGTTTTAAGCATTTGTAAATGTTGTTACAAAATTAGTATCATTCAGAGTTTTGAAAAGCTGATCCATTGCATAGAGTGAAAATACATGTTTTATAATCACTTCAGGTTTTGTCCAAGCACAAGTAAACTTTGGTTCAAATAATGTACAAATAAATTTAGACATACAGTTCATCAAACAAAATGTTTGATTATGAATTATAGTGTGATATGTAAAGACTGCTTTGGCTAATTCTTTCTGTTTTGAACAAAATTCACTTTACGAAAATAAGTATTTAATTTTGTTGAAGATGTCATAGCAAATAATGAATGTTTGTGTTGATCTGATGAGACATGTCTTGTAATGTCATTTTTATTCTCTGAACCAATCAAAAAGTCACTGTTACACACCTCACAGTGAACATTGTTCTCAATTTTGCTCTTTTTCAAAAAAAGGAAATTCATTTTGTAATTCTTTTGTAAATGTACACAGTTGTTTCTTTGACATGAAATCTAAAATTAGTTTTTTTTAATTAAAATTTATATTCTAAGTAATATTAAAAGGTAATATGTACTTTCACTTTAAAATCAGCAAACTTTACACTAAAAACAGTAATGACAAGATTAGGTTCTCAAAAGTGACAAGTAAAACTTAAGTAAGAGAAACTAGTGTCAGCTAGTATCAAAGAGATGAAACAGTGACCTTCTGTCACTGTAAAAGAGTTGGAGAGGCATATTTCATTTTCTGTGCATTGTCTGATGCAGGTTGTCTGGTTACTTTAGTTAAAAACATTTCCAAAATAGAATATTTTTGGCTTCCTGAGTAAACATTTATAATTTATAAATTATCATAATGCCTTGTTTTAATTTGGTTTAAAAGTAGTTATTATTCTGTCATTTTGTGCTAATATTAATAATTACATTAATGACTAAATTAATGTTTTAGTCAAATTAACTTTTTACTTAATTAATTTTTAAATCAAAGTTAAATTAATTTGACTTTCATTGAAGTTTTATCAATAAAATTATACTGTTAAAATATACTTATTCGTTCAACAACTATTTATTTCAGGATTTTTTTACTTTTATTTTACAGTACCTATTCAGTCTTGGGGCCCCAGTTTTAATTTTAGTATTTGGTATGTAGAATTGAAAGGAAATGATGATTGGGAATTAGTAAAATCCAGTATGAAATGGTTTAATTATGTAAGTTTTAACATTTTCATTTGCACTGTAAGGTATTCTAGAATAAATATCATGATATTATATATTAATAATAGCAATAATAACATTTAACAGAATTCGTTAAAGTATTAAGATGATAAGTACTTAAACTATATTAATATATAAATATTTATGTTAATGATAATTACATTCCTTTTACAAAAATATATAATAATAGTTATTATGGTGGTGTTAGTAGTGTATATCCTTTACAATATAGTATATATTAGTGCCTAGTACTAAGCTGATCCAGAGCCAGACTACAAAATTGGAACAAAAATTCAATGACTTATTACAATGGCACATAACTTAATTATAAATATAATTTTGCATAATATCTAAAATAGTTATATAAATTGCACAGTTTTTGTTTAGTGATTACATTTAAATACTTATATAATGATAACTCATTTTCTAATTTATTCAAATTAAATCTAATTCTTTTGCCAATGCTCAGAAAGCACTTGCAAAATAGATGCTGTTTTGCCAATTTGTCAGTACAAAATATATAATTAATATCTGCAATTTTATGAATTTCACCTCCAATGACAAATAATTACTAGTTAATTTTAGTGTATTCAAAATTGTTTAATAGTATAAGGAATAAACAAAAATAAATTGTATTTGAACATTTTTTGAAAGAAAATCCAAAAAAATTGTATACAGTAGAGTTTTGCAAACTTGACTTAATGTGGACTGAGAAGGTGACAGGTTACCAAAAATGATGAGTTTTACAGATAGTGAGGATGTTAATCTAAATAGTGGAATTTTCATAAAGGTAATATACAGTAGAGCGTCAATTATCCAAAAGTCAATTATCCGAAACGTCAATTATCCAAAAGAATTCCAGTCGGCAAATTTAAATTTTTGCCAGTGCTGTGTTGCGGTGCAATCTTTGGCTATGTCTTGAGCTACTCAAATATTTTATGCTTTTGATACTAAATTAACTTCTGAAGTATAATTTTTTATTGTTTTTATATTTTTCAATATATTTATTTTGTTTGTACAAAATAAAGAAATAATTTTTAACGATACAATAGTCACGATTATTATTTTAAAAAGTTTACGTTAGGCTTAACATCGACAAAAATTCAATGTGAAGCGACATGCAACGGAGAAAAATTTCAACATGGGATAGGTTAATATATTTTTTCATACATAATCGGTTATCCGAAATATCGATTTTCCGAACAACCCTAGTCCCCAATTGATTCGGATAATCGACGCTCTACTGTGTGTTCAAATTCAAATATTAACTATGTAGGGTCAATGTGGGTAAATATGAGACACTTTTCAAAACTTTTGTAACAACATTTGTTAGGATCAGTATTTTATAAAGAGAAATATATGACAAGGTCTACAGATGGTGTTAAAATCTAATGGAGTATTCATTTTTTCTGTATGTGTGAGAAATGTTGAGCAAAAAGGAGTCTGTGTCATATTTTACCTTCAAAAGCTAAAATATGAAACACTGGGAGATGAAAAATTAGACACCCATTATATCATAAGGACTTGCCTATGCCAACAGTGAGGTTAATAATTAGGTACTACAGGTTAAATGCAAGACATTTTTGTATAAAACATTGCTCCATGATATTTAGTTTCTAACATATATAATTTTTAAAAAGATTTTTGTACAGCTCATTTTCTTGACATTTTCACATGAAATTTTTTAATTGAAGTAAGTAAGATAAGATTAAATATTTATCATTGAAAATTACTCTAGTTGTGCACAATATAAAAGTGTAAAATAAAACAAAATTTTAAAGACTTAGGCCTAGGCCTAAGTGATTTTATTAATCTTTTTGAACAAAGTACATTATGATACCAACTATTTTATATTGCTAATGGTAAATACATATGGTATAGGCCTAAATTAAATGTTTAAAGAATAAAAAGATAACTAAACTGGGTTAATAATTCAGTAGGCTATAGGAAAGGAGAAAAGGAAAGGAAGGAAAAGGAAAAATACAGTATAACGCAAATTAGTAAATACACTTTTTTCACAAATATTTCAGATAGGATGTGTCCTCCTTCAGCAGAAGACAAACTACATCTTTTTCTCCTATCCTATAATGAATTATTAATAGTAAACACACAAAGCTTTATTCAATGGCTTGTTAAAAGAGATATTAACATAGAAAAAGTAATAAGCATACCACTAATTAAAGAAAATTTATATAACTAGCCTAGTCTAAATAAAATAGGCCTGCACCAAAATAAAACGTTTTAGGAACAATTGATTATGTATTTAATTAGCATGGAATAAAAATAATGAAGAAAATAAAACTGTAGCTCTGCTGTTTTCTGTGTATTAACATTAAGGTTAAATTACTTATAGACCTATTACATTTCAAAAATATTATCAGGCTGAACTTAAATAAAAAAAAGTTTCATGGAAATTAATGACTGGTAAATAAAATCTGGTGTCTCATTTTTTACCTATGGTGTGTGTCATTTTTTTGCCTAAAGTGTGTGTCATTTTCTATCTCATTTTGAAATGCACTAGACTCAGAAAAAGATGATACATGCAATAAAAACAACTAGCAGCTGAAAGCTGCATTTATATATTACATACAAATTTCTAATTAAATATCCATGTCTTTTACAGACATATACAGAGCAAAAGTTAGTTGAACTGATAAAAAAGTTTTTGCACCTATTTTTGTAGTGTTTCTTAAAAATTAAAAAGACTCAATGAAACCATAGTCATTTTCATTCAGGAAAGTTATATGTTAAAAAGCACTAGATAAACTTAATACAGTAGAGCGTCATTTATCCGAAAGTCGGTTATCCGAAATGTCAGTTATCCGAAAGAATTCTAGTCGGCAAATTTAAATTTTCACTAGTGCTGTGGCACTGCAATCTTTGTCTATATCTTGGGCTACTCCAATATTTTTTATGTTTGTGTATGTGTTTTAGCTGGCAACACTGTCACTTTTGTGTGATGTTTTTCTGAGGACTGTGTGTCATGCTGAATCGAACGTTTTTGATATTAGATAACTTCTAAAGTATAATTTTTTTGTTTTTATATTTTTCAATATATTTATTTTGTTTGTAAAAAGTAAAGAAATAATTTTTAATGATACAATAGCCACGATTATTATTTTAAAAAGTTTATATTAGGCTTAACATCAACGAAAATTCAACGCAAAACAACACGCAACGGAGAAAAATTTCACCACGGGAGAGGTTAATGTATTTTTTCGTACGTAATCGGTTATCCGAAAAATAAGTTATCTGAACAATCCCAGTCCCCAATTGATTTGGATAAATGATGCTCTACTGTATTGTATTAGTACAGGACAGATCAGACATAGATTAAGTCAAATTTCACAACTGTCTCATATTTTCCAATTTTTCAGACTGTCTCATATTTAGCCTCATTGACCCTACCAATAGGCACTATTTCTATTGTAGTTAAAGTTTAATTTAAAAAATAATGACTATTCAGTGGCTGCTTTTGAGTTAGTGACATTCACATTGTGGCATTTTACAGTGGTACAGTAAGACCCCAATTAACGTGGGGGATGCATTCCTAGACAACAAAGCGCTAAACAAAACAGCGTTAAACAAGGTCATTTTAACAGAGTAAATAGGTTTAGGGGAACAAGCAACCAAAAATAAACAAATTTCACTTTAATTTTAACTTACTTTTATATTAATTTGTATAATAATATATGTTAAATAACACGTAAACATATGCACACAGAAATTTATAATAATATATAATTAACACATTGGTATTGCGGCATTACAAGTAGTGATTTGTAAAAATTCACATGTACTCACAAGTACTTTCAACAGCTTACAGCTGTCATCCTCAGGCAAAAATTGAATACTATAAATTTTGAATACTTAGCTTTTTAACAGACTATTTAAATTACGTAAAACGCGTAGATGGAATTTAGAATAGATATTAAAAATTGCAATAATTACTATATTTGTAGAAATGTGCTGTGATGACGTAATACCCAAAATACATAAAATGCAAATAATGGTGCCGTATTTGGCTGCCGTATAACTGAAAATTATACTTGTAATGCCGCAACATCGATGTGTTAATCATATATTACTGTACATTGGCGTGAAATGTAATTTTATTTTTTATTATTATAATGTACAGTAGATCCCCCTATAAGACGGTAGATACGTTCCGTTCTTTATGAATCAATTTTGTAGGAATCATAGTTTACGGACTACGGCTGTTTGAAAGGCTTTCTTTCATAAAATTAATCGATTCTAGACTAATTCGACTCAACATTTCCAAAGTACGTATATTTTTTTGAAAATAATCCGTATAAACTACGTTATAAACAAAAAATTGTAGNATAATACAATTATTTGCAAACACAAACCAATCAGCAAAAGGTGGCAAAAAGGTGTACTTTCCTTAAATCTATGTTTGTATATTTCTTTGGTGCAATTTTGGAAAAAATATAACATCCTGGATACCAAAGGAAATATTGACTTCGTTTGGCAAGAATTAACTGATAAATGCACAAACGAAGTGTGGAAGAAGTTATGGCTGAAGGTATCCAAGAATTCTCAATGAGAAGAGCCTATTGCTGTATCGTTAGGTTGACCAAACTCAACCTAATCAATACAGCAGGACTAGGAGATGTAGATGAACAGGATATAGAGGAGTTACAGCAGGTTTCTGGTGAGAGGCTTAACAACGACGACCGTCGAGAACTGGCAGAACAAGGAATTCACGTAGAACTGGAAAATAGAGATTCTGAAAACAAAGAACCCAAAAAATTTCTCTATGGATTTCCTTAGTAAAAATTTGGTAATGATAACCAAAATCGTTGATCAAATTGTAGCAAATAATCCAGATTTTGAAAGGAGTGCAAAAGCAAAATGAGGCATTTTGAATGTGATCTTCTGTTACCGACATTTGCTTAAGGAAAAGAAAAAAAAAGCAACAAATAAAACTACATGACTTTATTGCAAAAAAACAAGAATTTCAGAAAAGTCAGAACCTTCATCACAAAAAAATGAACTTTACATTTTTGTGTATGTATGTTTGTGTTATTTAACATATATTATTATGCAAATGAATATAAAAAGAACTTAAAATTAAAAAATTTGTTTATTTTTTGGTCACGTGTTCCCCTATCCCTATTTACTCTATGTTAAAATGACCTTGTTTAAAACTGTTTCGTTTAGCATTTTGTCGTCTAGGAATGCATCCCCTGCATTAAGTGGGGTCTTACTGTATTTGTAAAAAAACATTTGTGGGATATTTTATGACTGTTGATATTCAGAAATTTATGAAAGTAATTTTTATATGATATATATATAATATATATCATTATATATCAATAATCAAATATATAAAAATGATATATATATATCATTTTTATATATTTGATTATTGATATATAATGATATATATTATATATATATCATATAAAAATTACTTTCATAAATTTCTGAATATCAACAGTCATAAAATATCCCACAAATGTTTTTTTACAAATACAGTAAGACCCCACTTAATGCAGGGGATGCATTCCTAGACGACAAAATGCTAAACGAAACAGTTTTAAACAAGGTCATTTTAACATAGAGTAAATAGGGATAGGGGAACACGTGACCAAAAAATAAACAAATTTTTTAATTTTAAGTTCTTTTTATATTCATTTGCATAATAATATATGTTAAATAACACAAACATACATACACAAAAATGTAAAGTTCATTTTTTTGTGATGAAGGTTCTGACTTTTCTGAAATTCTTGTTTTTTTGCAATAAAGTCATGTAGTTTTATTTGTTGCTTTTTTTTTCTTTTCCTTAAGCAAATGTCGGTAACAGAAGATCACATTCAAAATGCCTCATTTTGCTTTTGCACTCCTTTCAAAATCTGGATTATTTGCTACAATTTGATCAACGATTTTGGTTATCATTACCAAATTTTTACTAAGGAAATCCATAGAGAAATTTTTTGGGTTCTTTGTTTTCAGAATCTCTATTTTCCAGTTCTACGTGAATTCCTTGTTCTGCCAGTTCTCGACGGTCGTCGTTGTTAAGCCTCTCACCAGAAACCTGCTGTAACTCCTCTATATCCTGTTCATCTACATCTCCTAGTCCTGCTGTATTGATTAGGTTGAGTTTGGACAACCTAACGATACAGCAATAGGCTCTTCTCATTGAGAATTCTTGGATACCTTCAGCCATAACTTCTTCCACACTTCGTTTGTGCATTTATCAGTTAATTCTTGCCAAACGAAGTCAATATTTCCTTTGGTATCCAGGATGTTATATTTTTTCCAAAATTGCACCAAAGAAATATACAAACATAGATTTAAGGAAAGTACACCTTTTTGCCACCTTTTGCTGATTGGTTTGTGTTTGCAAATAATTGTATTATATACGAATCAATGAAATGCCGCAATAATTTAAATCAGCATAAATTTTGAGCTTTTTTAGGCTTCGAGCAGACTGCGTTATATTGAATCAGTGTTAAGCTTGGGTCTTACTGTACTTTGGAAGAAGGCTCATGAATTTATCATTTAAAGATCTGATAGATACTGGTAAATATATTTCATACAAATTAAATTTTATCCTTTCTCATTCTCATCTCATAGTGCCATATCAGGTTCTCCTGACCTCAGCCACACCCGGCGCAGATTAGTAAGTAGTTAGTAATACGCCAAGATGTTACTAGGGAAGGTTACTATCCAGAGTGGTTTCCCGTTGTCTTCTCTGGAGCGTGATGTTACACAAGGGGAACTAATGCCTTCCGGGAGGACTTTTATGGGGAACTGGCCTCCTATTTATTTGTTATTGGCAAGGAGAAAACCCGGCAAACTCCAAGCAGCCAGCCTGTCCGATCGCGGCGTGAACCCATGACCGAACTCCCAGTGTTTAGGGTACGAAGACCATTCGGCCACTGGTGGGCACTCCTTTCTCATTAACAATTTCCAATTGATGCACAATGGAACAATTAGTTGAGTTAGATTGAAATTAATACTTGCCAATTAATGAAATTTTGAAATTTTTAAAAATCTTTTTCCTTATAAAATTAACATTAATGTATTTTAGAATTAAAATGTTATAATAAATTACTATTGTAAAACAATGTGTTTAACTAACATTAAAAGACAGTACACACACACACATTCAAACTAAAGATTATATGGAATTGTTTGGATTAGCAGGATTTTCTTTTTATATGATTTATATCATTGATATCATTCATTAAATTTGTGAAATTTCACCAAATTGAAAAAAGAAAACAAAAAGAGAAAAACAAACAAAATTTGTTCTAATTAGCATGAACTAATGTATATGCTTTGAGCTGGCTTGGTTCAGTATGATGACAGTTTTTTAGACAACTTGGGTCAACATTTCAATTCAGTGAAGACAGCTGTGCAAATTTTTCAACAAGCTGAATTGAGCTGAATTTTTTTCAAGGTTAATTAAATATATACAACAATTCCTACATTAAATTATTCATCCCCAAAAACTACTTTTTTAAAGTTCATATCATTATCATCTCAGTGCTTTTGAATTCTTACAACTTGAAAACACTAGGATACATATTTTAAGTTACAATAATAATAAATAGTAAGCTTGAAATGCATAATTTTAAAACATTTTTTAATTTTAAGAATACAGTAGAGCGTCGATTATCCAAAAGTCAATCATCCGAAACGTCAATCATCCGAAAGAATTCCAGTCGGCAAATTTAAATTTTCGCCAGTGCTGTGGCGCTGCAATCTTTGGCTATGTCTTGGGCTACTCAAATATTTTACGTTTTTGATACTAAATTAACTTCTGAAGTATAATTTGTATTGTTTTTATATTTTTCAATATATTTATTTTGTTTGTACAAGATAAAAAAATAATTTTTAACGATACAATAGTCTTCGTTAGGCTTAACATCGATGAAAATTCAACGCAAAGCGACACACAACGGAGAAAAATGTCAAGATGGGATAAATTAATATATTTTTTCGTACATAATCGGTTATCTGAAACATCGATCTTCCAAACAACCCCAGTCCCCAATTGATTCGGATAATTGACGCTCTACTGTAATTAGAAATGTATGTATCTATTATTGCTAATGTTATTTCTTTATAATTCTTCAGTACAGAGAAAGAGAGGCAATTCGACTATGTTTGAAACATTTTAGACAACACAACTACACAGAAGCTTTTGAATCTTTACAAAAAAGAACGAGAGTTCAACTTGAAGATGCTCTTCTTTCAAAATTACACCAATTATTAGTAAGATTTTTTGATAAGTTATTGTAGTGCAATTTTTTATTTTATATATTGAAATATATTAATATATATTTCAATTATTTTATTAGATCTCAATATTTCATTTCATTGAATTATATTTATTAAGAAATAAATCAAAATACCCAAGAAAGATTTATTTCTAAATAAATCTTTCTTAGGTGTTAGAAATTTCTTAGTCTGATAATTTAAGAAATTATTGTAAAATTAAGTTTAAAATAAATAATTTAGGAAATAATTTATTGTACAATAGTATTAAATATTATTTATAATCATACCTGTTTTTATTGTCAACTCATCAGAAATTTTTAATATTATTAGGTAGTTGATGGGAATTTTGAGGCTTGTGAACAATTATTAGAAACTGCTGCAAATAGTGAGTAATTATAAATTTATATAAATGTAATTATTGCAATTTTCAAATTATAGACCTAGAGATTACCACTGTTGTTCATTCTTTCTTAATCTTGAACAGAGTTAGATAAAACTTGAGATCAAAATATGGAAAGCTTAGAAGCCAGATGCTCTGATTAACTATATGAACTTCCAGTCTGGACTGAAAATCATATTGAAAAGATTGTTTATTAATCTTATAATCAAGATGGGTTAATAATAATAATAATAAGTACAGAGCCCAAACAGTTAGGATTTGAAAGTTGAAATTTGGTACATAGTTAGGGTATGTCATGAGAATGTATACTAAGAAGGGATTTTTAAAAATCCCCCTGTGGGGGAGGGGGAGAGGGTTAAGGCTTAAGAATTACCCTGAAGAATTCTTCTTCTACTGTACTATTTTAGATGCTTTTTTTTTGCAGGAAATTGAACATATTTTTAGATGTATCTAAAAATTCTCTAATTAGCCTTGAAAGAGGAGGGACCAAATTCTTGCACCCAGTGAAAATGGGTGAGATCGGCTATAATCTAATAGTAATCAATAGGATGACTATCCAGCCAAATTAATGTATAATAATAATAAAAATAAAGACACTGAGTTCAGCGTTACATGCTGAACTCAGTGTCTTTATTTTTATTATTATTATTACATAATCTAATAATCTTAATCTTCGCTAAGTTAAAACTGGAGAACTATTAGAATAGATTAGGGCTGTATAAATTATTTAATCCATGAGTTTGAAAATGATAGAATTGTTACATTTTAGAGTAAAATTGTACTACTAATATTAATTAGTATTAGTATTAATTTGTATTGACTGCACTGGGAATAAAACAGTTAAATAATTACAGTATCATCAATAAAACAGCAAATAATAGATACTGTTTTAAAGACTTAATCATTTTATAATTCAGTATTTAATCCAATTTTTATTATTATTACATTGTATTTCTGTTTTAATTTTTCTCTCTATTTTATTTTTTTTTTATTTTGCATTTGTTTTTTGTTTCAATAAAACAGCAAATAATAGATACTGTTTTAAAGACTTAATCATTTTATAATTCAGTATTTAATCCAATTTATATTATTATTACATTGTATTTCTGTTTTAATTTTTCTCTCTATTTTATTTTTTTTTTATTTTGCATTTGTTTTTTGTTTCTCTTGATTATAGGTTGTTTGAAAGAATCATTAGCTGTGGTAGCTTATTTGCAAGTATGCAGATATATGTCAATAAATATTTGTATCTAAATGGCAACATATCTATATTTAGTTCAAACATATAATAATGAATATTAAGATTTCTGTACATAGAATGCTAAATAAATAAAAAAGTATAATGAATGTTTAAATGACAGTTATATGGAAGAATATTTATTTTAATAATAAATCACTTGTGTAGAATGTTACATTTAATTCTTATTGAAATCAATTTTTTCAAGGTGGAAGTTTTAATCATTATTTGAAACAACAACAATATAAACCTAAATGGATGCCTATTGTGCCATCACCAAAAGAACCAGGTAAATAATCATTTAATGTTTTTAAATTAATGTTATTATATATATTTAGCTAAATATATTTTAATTAAGTAAACATGAATTTAGTTCCTTTTAAAAAATACATAATATGTTTTAAAAAATGGCTGACAAGTGTACATGTTAAAAAAAAACTGTAGAAAAGACTAAAATGTGTTGATTTTGACATGGTGAAAATCAAGACATTTTAGTGTTTTCTACAAAGTTTTTTTAACATATAAACTCATCAACCAGTTTTTAAAAGAACTTATGTAATTTTTAATTGTTGGCTTGTCACCTGTAAACCTTTCTAAACTGTTTTTGTATGTTTTTGTAGAGGCATAGCCTCTAATAAAAGGTCATCTCTGCAATGGAAGACTGTTGTTTCTGGTGATTTAACATGGCAAAAATCAAGACATTCAGTCTTTTTTATGTATATTTTTAAAAAATGAATTTAGTTGTTTTAGTAGTTCTAGAATGTATGTGTGCTCATATGACTTTTTGGATCACATCTCTTTGAGTTTCTTGTCTCTTAGTCATTTTATTTTACAATTTAGTCATAAAAATTATCTTTGTAATTTTTATAACATTTATCACTAAGTATCTATAATGGTTGTCTTGTTTTCTGGAGTTTTTCAAATTTTTTACACAAAAATAAAAAAATTGTTATTTCCAAAATGTTTTGTGTTTATAATTTATGATAAATAAAAGTGAAAGTTTTAACTTGTTTTAGAAGCTACTGAAACTGATTTGAGGAGAATTTTGTTTATATAAGAATGATTAGACTGGTAAAAAAATATACACTAAAACCTGTGTAAACTAGAATCTTAGCATATCAAATTTTTTTTTCCATTTTGAACAAGCTTTACTTTTTTATCTTTAAACTATACCACATAAATGTCATTTGTAAATGTCATTTTTAGAGTAAAATCACTTTTATTACATAAGTAAGAAACATTTTATTACTACATAATCAAAAATGATTCAAGTTAAGATGGGAGTATTTGAATAGAAAAATTGAGAACTATATGATTATAAAAAGTTCTTGGATGTAATCATTATGAGCTCATATGACAAGAAACAAATTCAAGAATCAAAAATTAGTGTCTTCTTCTGCTGTTGGAAATTTTAATTGTGTCACAGTAATGCAGAGATCAAGCTATTTTGTTATCTGATTTCTCAGGACTTTTGATACTCTGATTAATTGTTAATTTCAATTTCTGTAATTATCAACAATGTTAATCAACTTTTTCTTGAATACTCAGCTCTAGTTAGTTACTAACAACTCTGCACAAGGCAAATTGGCAGCATGTGCTTGCTTTATTCTTATTGTTTTCAATGAATTATATTTGTTATTTGTTCTGAATAACTCAGTTTTAGGAAACTCATTCAAATCTTGAAAGTTCTTGATTTCTTGATTGTCTTTAGTGGATTCAAAAAAATACTAATATTAGCAAATGCCTTGTATCCATATGTTCCCTTATCATATGACTTTTGTTTCTCTGAAAAGGTTTGAAGTTGTTCTTGGAATACAGTGTCATGATCTGTGGTGAACATTGTACCTATAAGTGTTTTTATTTTTTTTTTTTTTTTACAAATGAAATCTTAATTTTCTAATTTATTCAGGTTAGGTTATGTTCTTTATACCAAAAACCTTCTTCCATTTCCATGTTGGACAGAGTTTTGGCTTATAGTAAAATTTAACAAAGAAAATTGCTTCATTCTGAAGTTTTTTTCTATTTAGGTAGGTTTCCATTTTAGATAGGTTTTATTTTATATACACTGAGTGGCCACTTTATTGGTACTTGTACAGTACCTAATATTTGTTGATCACCTCTAGCTTAAATTCATTGGGACAGTGACTCTGTAAGTTTCTGAAATTGTTCTACAGGTTGTTTTACATTTTTAATCATTCCTTCATGATAGCAGTGTGCAAATGTTGCATATTGGCATGTTACTCCTTTGTAGTTGAATAGCTCTTCTGACATTCCAAAGACGCTCAATAGAATTAAGGGCTGGAGATTGCAATGGCCATTCTAGTTCATCAAACTTTTAGTCATACTCATGGAACCATACTAAACCAGTTGATAGCAAAAAACATTATCCTGATGAAAGCGTACTTGTCCCTGGAGACGACAGTGACACTAATGGGTGCACATGGTCAGTAACAATGTTAAGATAGGCTGTACTGTTTAGGGAGTCTTCTATTTGAATCAGTGGTCCTAAGTTGTGATAGGAAAACATCCCCACATTATGGCAAAGCCATCACCATTTGGAATGTGAAAGTGATAATGATCATTACTCTTTTNTGTTTGATGGAAAAGACCAGATTTGTGGAAGAACAATTCTCGGATGTCTCATCACGATAATGTGCCATCTCAAACATCGGCCCTTGTATGTAAATTTTTAATCAAAAACACAATGAATGTCATCGACCAAGCACTGTATTCACCTGATGTGGCCCCATGTGACTTTTTCCTCTTCCCCAAATTCAAATTACCACTTTGTGGAAAATGTTTTGAGTTGATTGAAGAAATAAAACAAAATTTGCAGAGGGATCTTCAGGCTATACCAGAAAGCACTTATAAGAAATGTTTTGATGACTGAATTGTTTGTTGGCAGAAGTGTATTGCATCAAACAGGGCCAGCATATTTTGAAGGCAAAAAAATAAATTTGGGTAATTAAACCAATATTTTGTATTTTATTTAACAATTCCTGGTATTTATTTCACAGAATGTATTTTTATTAAATATGTTTTCATCTAATATCTGATTGTTAAGTAATTAAAATTCATAAGTTAATCAACTATGAATAGAGAGAGTGAATAATTTCCTCATTATCACAAATTATTAAATATAATAAACATGAAAAGAGGTGTTCTTATTATTTTTTCATTATATTTCTCTCTCATTAGATCTTAGAAATCATAATTTTCATATGTTCAAAACTGACATTTTATTTAATGATTTCAGATGGCAACAAAACCAATTTTTGGTAAATCGTGGTTTTAGAGAAACCAAAATGCTATTTTCAAAACTGGTTTTTAACAAACAATGAAATTTGTATCATTACTATGGTATTAAGTGCATTGTGTTTACTTGCCATTTTTGACTTTTTATTGGCAGTAAAATATGCTTAGATTTAAGATTCTTCCACATAACTGATGTACTGAAAAAAAATCTTAGTGTAACATTACATTTTTTACATGGCATCAATATATCATCCTTGACTTTTTAAGACAATGCCATGCATTACTCATGCTTAAATTTCAAAATTAAAATCAACGTGGGGCAACATGCAATGGAGAGAAATTTTGACATTGGATAGGTTAATTTCACCAAAAATGCATCGTGGCCGAGACCGGCAAAGTTTGAATGATCACACTCAAAACCAGCGATACCAAAGAAGATTAGATTAGAGAACGAGACCCACTGTGAGTGTCTAAGTGATCCCGCTTAGTAGTGAGTCTCCAAGACGTAGTCTTGTCCCAAATATGGCTTTACCATTTTACTTGTTTGTTCTTATAATTATATATACTTGTCATGGTCATATAAATTTTATCATGTAATGGTTTTTATATTTTCATCAAAAGCAGAAAATATTTTGCTAGGTAATTGTTGAAGAATTGAAATTTGTTATGTTATTAATTGAAAATCTTTTTGTGTAAATCTTAAAATAATTGTAAGATTTTTGTTTATAAACAGTCTTTTTGTTGATATGTGCTGCTTGTCCTTAATTATTATACTTTTGTCCATTTTGGATGTTTTTGTGAACTAGGATTTGTTAACCCTCAGTATAACAAGTCTTATTTCACAAGTGCTTTAAAAATAACCAAAAAAGAAAATTGTTTTTATTTCAAAACTCTTTTTGACATTATTTAATGGGTGAGAATTTTTGTCAGCTCAAATTAAAATGAAATATTNAAACATTAAGAATTTGTAACAGTTGTCATAAATGTCAAATTTTATTTTTATAGGAATTAATCTAATCAATAATCAAAACAAAATAGAACAAATATTCCAGGGTCTTACCCAGAACTGTATGTTTGGCTTGAATGAATATTCAGCAATAAATATTTTATTATATGATGATCTCAGCATGAGCATCATCAACTGGTAACAGTTTTTGGGTGTGTTTGTTAATAGCGGTTGCTCTGAAACAGGAGTGCGCTGCTGTTTGTAGGCATTTAGGAATGATGGTAAAAGAAAGATGGCGGCGCCCGCACTATCAATAGTATCATGATGGAGGAATCTATAATTCTAAAATGAGCTTTTAGAGGCAAAAGAAGNTTGTAGGCATTTAGGAATGATGGTAAAAGAAAGATGGCGGCGCCCGCACTATCAATAGTATCATGATGGAGGAATCTATAATTCTAAAATGAGCTTTTAGAGGCAAAAGAAGTGTCCCAATTGTAAAATTTAACCATTAAATGGATTATTTGTTGAAAGATCATTCAAAGTAGCCATGAAAACAATTAGAATGCTTGCATGGAGTTACGCAGAGGTATAAAAGAACGCACCCTTTATTACATTTTATGTTGTACGAGGGTTTTACCATATTTTGGTTTATTTTAATGCTATTTTATTTTATTGCAGTATTTATTTTGATTATTTTTGTTAATAATGATAAGAGATTTTAAAAATCATTCTAAAAAACAGTTAGGCATTTGTTCTTATTGGAATGTTTTTTCTGAAGATTAACACTACTTTGCTTAATGCTGATTTGATATANGCCATAAAATGTGCCTTGATTCTGAAAGAAAGAAAATATTTACATTGGGAAAGTATTTAGATTCAACAATGAGAACTCCAGAAAATTTAAAGGTATGAAAACTTTTAAAAAAACATTAGTCATTATAGATTAATTTTAAAAAATGTTATATTTTTGTGTCTGCATTCATTATTTTATAATTAGCATGTGGAAAAATATTATTAAAAATCATTTATTTTCTTATATTTAATTTTGTTTATATTTTATAACATTAAATATTAAATTTTAATTTGATATACTATAATGTTTTTCATTTTTTTGTAATTTTAACTTATCTGTTCTTACTCTTTCAATTATATTGTAGTAAAGGTATTGGTGAAAAAGATATGCTTTGTTTTATTATCAATTTTAAATATTTTGAGTTTATTTGATAATTATTGCTAGCTTTCTCATATTTATAATACTGTTACATTTTAACTACAGTGGAACCTCGCTTAGGCCCTGTCTTGTTCCGAAGGTGCTAAATTTTCTTCAAAAAAGATNACATTACAATTGAGTAGAAGTACATACATCACACTACAGAAGGCCACTATATTGAATACATGCCATATTGTTAGGAAATTCCTGAATACAGACACTGACACACTTATTTAATTTTTGTTTTTGGTTGCTATGCCTTGACTCTGGTCCGGCATAGTACACTGCCACTGGTGTCAACTGAATATAAACCGCTAAACCCAACATAATAATAATAATTGATATGTTTTGCTGAAAACTTTTTTCTGAATAATTGTAATGAATTCTTTCTATATAACTGAATACAGACACTGACACACTTATTTAATTTTAGTTTTTGGTTGCTATGCCTTGACTCTGGTCTGGCATAGAACACAGCCACCGGTTTAAACCGAGTATTACCCACTAAACCCAACACAATAATAATAATAATGAGCTCAGTGCCCAAACGGTCAGGAGTTGAAAGTGATTTGTGAAATAGGCAATATGTTACCGCTAAAGCTCGAAATCTGTTAATGTGTACATTACCTAGCTAATCCGCAGATTAACTAGGGTGATCCGTTAAAGCTGCGAAAATTGTTCAATTTCTCAAATTACCTAGGTAATTTGCAGAGTATCTAGGTAATCTGCACATTAACGGCTTCCGTATCGTTAAAGTTCAAAAGTTTGTTTCTTTCACTTCCTTTCCCCACTCCTTCTTTTTACGTAGATAAATTTAAATCCTAGAATGCAAGCAAGCACCGAANTATAAAAATTACTTTCATAAATTTCTGAATATCAACAGTCATAAAATATCCCACAAATGTTTTTTTACAAATACAGTGAGACTCCACTTAATCAAATTAAATTAATTAATGCAGGGGATGCATTCCTAGATGACAAAGCACAAGAACAACAAGTTATCACATTACTGTATACACATATTTGATTATATATATATAATCAAATATATGTATACAGTAATGTGATAACTTGTTATAATAAATCCAATATTAAATATGTAATTTTATGATTTTAATATACACTATTAATAGATAAAATCTTTGAGCATTAGACTTAGAAATACTTGCATTGAGAAATTTTTGTTTTTTTATTTATCATAAAAGAAGTTGTGTAGATTCCTATGCACTTGGAAAGTCAGGAAGAATCAGGGATTTCATTAGTGTTTGGAAAAAGTCATGGAAAGTCAAGAAATTTGTCATAAAAGTCAGAAAAGTCAGGAATTTGCCTCTTTGGCTGCCTTGTTGATTTTTTGCTGACAATATGCTTGCTTGACTAAGGGTGCGACTATGCAGACGCGAGCGAGCAAATTTTCCGACCGAGTGAGAATATGTGGCGAGAAGAGGCGAGATGTGATAAATATCAAAACCTGTCAGATATGTGCGAGAACCAGAAATTCGCTCTCGCCAAGTGTTATTTCTCACTTCTCGTTTGTGCATGGTTTTCCTTCGCGAAAACTAAATCGCTCGCAATCTCTCGCTCGCTCTAAATCTGCGTCTGCATAGTCGCACCCTAAGTGTAGCTATCTTCAGGCAGCAAGAAGTAATGTGGTTTAATACAACTTATGGAAAGGGATTCATAATATTTTCAAGACCCAAAATTTACCCAAAAATTTAAAGTACAAAAAATGATTAATAACTTTGATTGCATAACAAAATAATTTCTGATTATTTTTCCAGTTTATTAGTATTTTATAAAGTTTAGGAAATGTATTAAGAGATAAATTTAATAAATATATACTTCTACATGAATTATACAGGACTTTTAATGAATAATAAATAAATAACTGCTGTTTTCTTTTTTTCAAAGCCATGAAGATAGTGGATTAATAACATAATAAAGTTCTTTAATTTAATAAAACATTTTGGTTTTAGTTTTAATAATTTGACAATTATAAGAATTTGCAAGATTAGCTGATATTTTGTAAAAATATCTATAATTTTTAATTAGAAAAAATAACAAAAAGGTTAGAGAAGCAATAGCGTATGTGCATAGTAAATTAAATGGTGTTTTATTTTGTCAGTATGCTATACTGTAAGAGAAATGAGGGTCAGGGAATTTGTACAAAGTTTGTCAGGGAAAGTCAGGGAAAGTCATTGAATTTAAAACAAAAATTTGAATAGGAACTCTATGTATAATAGGAAATGTATAACTATAAACTTTAAAAAATTTGTTTTTGATAATTAATAATTCAATATTTTTATAGAAATGATATATTTATTTGGTGGATGGGATGGAATGCAAGATTTAGCTGATCTTTGGTCTTACCATATACCTTCTGGAGAATGGACTTGTTTATCACGTGATACACAAAATGAGGTAAATATTATACTGAATGAAATGCTATATTTCTGGATGAATTTAATTAACTATTCAAAATTTAACGTATTTTTTAAAATTACTTACATATGAAATAAATTTTTCAATTTCTGAAAGACTTAATTATAAGAAGTTGGCATTTTCAGACAATTTTAATTATTATAAAAGTAAAAAATTTAATACAAATGAAACAAGTTTTTATTTGCTTTTATCTTTATTTGCTGTAAGGATAAAAAGTATATCTGCTGAAACTATTATTAATTTTTATACCATTATTTCTGCTCCACAATGAATTTCATAATAATAGTCAGCATATGCATTAATAGTCAGAATTACCGCTATGCATTCAAGAGTTAAACATAACTATTCACCATCCACAAAAACATGAACCCATATATATCAATTCCTTGTAAAACAAGACTCTACTGTATTAAACTGAAAAGTTGATAACACCTCTAATTGTTTTTTGTTATTTTATAGTAAAACATTGTAGTTTCAAAACAGTTTCAAATAAATAATATAAACATTTGAACATATTATTTACAAGAATTTATAGTTTTAGAATAAATGTAGTCAATTCTTTATTAGTATAAATTTAACATATTTAACTAAAATAATATCTTCAGTCTTAAACAGATATATTTTATTATCTATCCAACTATACAATAATTTGCAATTTACTCCTACAGAAAAGATGGATAATTTTTACTAATGTTGTTATAATTTCAACCTATGTTTTTCTTATAATATTTAATTAAGAAATATTTTGTTTTTTAAAATTTGTAATTATTGGTTGAGCAGTTAATGAATGATTCCATTATAATATAAATAAAATAAGATTTAGTATATTTATAACAGTTAATCAATTGAATTTTTTCATGCTATAAGCTTATATGAGCCAGGTGACTTACCTGAATGACAAGATTTATTAATTTTAATTAAATATCATTAAAATCATGAAATTTTAAGTCATATTATTGTGTGTTCAGTATATTTGTTCTCAACCTCAAGTTCAGTCTTATTTCAAAGTTTGATGTCTCCCTTGAAGAATGATTCTTAGAGTAGTGAAGATATCACTCTAATAAATGACTTAAGCTTTTTTAAAGTCTTTTAGTAAACTCTACCTGAAGATCTCTCTATTAAAAAGTGTCAATGATTCAGATTTGGAGAATATACAATTTTTTCATAATCTTTTCATGATGCAAAGATCATTGGATTTGAGGGGAAATGTATAAAACACTTTGTAATATAAATTTCTTTGAATGCTAATTTGAATATATGAATAAGGATTTAAACTTCATCATTTAGTGGAAATAAAGTATTAAACTTGGTAAGTATATTTGAACCAACCTGTATTATTTGCATACAATTATATTAAAAGTTTTATACTTGTCAAATTATTTTCATTGTTTGTAGTAATGAAACAAGAACAAACAAAATTTTGTTTGTAAAATTTCTTGATTTATTGGCAAAAGAATTATATCAGGAAGAATTAACTTTTTTCAGAAACCAATAAACATTAAAATGTAATTTACAGTTATTCAAATTCAGTTATTTAATTATTCAAATGTAATTTTCAGTTATTCAAATTTATGCTAAATGGATAATTCTTCTTTAGTATAAATTTATAATGCTACTGCTTATTATTTTATTAAGTGTGTTTCAAATCTGAAATGATGAAAACTTTTTATAATCTTAACTTTCTATTAATTAATTAATGTATATGTAATTCTTTGATTACATATACATTCTGTCAAATAAATACCAGGAATTGTCCATTTCGAAAGGCTATGTAAAAGATATGAAAACTACTTGCTGTAAGTTGGTACTAGTGTGTGTGTAATGTAGCGCCATCTGTCAACCAATTTATTTACAACTGTTGGTTTTGTCATCGAACGTGAAGTGTGCTTTGCAATTTTCAAAATGGACAAAAATATTGAACAAAGTTTGTCTAAAATTTTGTGTTGCCAACAAAATTTCTTTGGCTGAGAAATTGAAAATGTTGCAGAAGGTCTACAGTGAGTCAGCTTTATCCAAAACATGTGCATATGAGTTGTACAAAGCATTTAAAGATGGCTGAGAAGTGGGGGAAGACTTGTCTTGTTCTGGTTGATCTTTATCATCTTCAACTGAGGAAAAAATCGGCAAAGTGAAGGAAATGGTGATGGAAAAATCATCATTCAAGCTTGAGAGAGATGGGTAAGAATCTAAACATGTCTCATGAATTTGTTTGCACTACTTTAGTGGGTGTTTTTGGGCATGAGATCTGTCACAGCACAACTTGTTCCGAAGGTGCTAAATTTTCTTCAAAAAAGATCTTTAGGAAAAGATTGCTGAAGACATGCTTGAATGAGCCAATTTAGCCCTCACATTCTTGAAACTCATCATAACAGGTGATGAGATGTTTATGAGTTTGACATGCAAATCAGTCAACAAGCTTTGGAATGGCACTACGAGAATGAGCCATGTCAAAATCAAAAAAAACCACATCAAAGTTGCACAAAAAATCAATGTCATGTTGACTGTTTTCTTTGCCTGTCATGGTGTTGTCCACTTGGAATTTCTTCCAGAGGGACAAACAGTCAACAAACAATATTACTGGGCATTATGAGGTGTTTGAGAATGTTTGATGGAAAAGACCAGATTTGTGGAAGAACAATTCTCGGATGTCTCATCACGATAATGTGCCATCTCAAACATCGGCCCTTGTATGTAAATTTTTAATCAAAAACACAATGAATGTCATCGACCAAGCACTGTATTCACCTGATGTGGCCCCATGTGACTTTTTCCTCTTCCCCAAATTCAAATTACCACTTTGTGGAAAATGTTTTGAGTTGATTGAAGAAATAAAACAAAATTTGCAGAGGGATCTTCAGGCTATACCAGAAAGCACTTATAAGAAATGTTTTGATGACTGAATTGTTTGTTGGCAGAAGTGTATTGCATCAAACAGGGCCAGCATATTTTGAAGGCAAAAAAATAAATTTGGGTAATTAAACCAATATTTTGTATTTTATTTAACAATTCCTGGTATTTATTTCACAGAATGTATTTTTATTAAATATGTTTTCATCTAATATCTGATTGTTAAGTAATTAAAATTCATAAGTTAATCAACTATGAATAGAGAGAGTGAATAATTTCCTCATTATCACAAATTATTAAATATAATAAACATGAAAAGAGGTGTTCTTATTATTTTTTCATTATATTTCTCTCTCATTAGATCTTAGAAATCATAATTTTCATATGTTCAAAACTGACATTTTATTTAATGATTTCAGATGGCAACAAAACCAATTTTTGGTAAATCGTGGTTTTAGAGAAACCAAAATGCTATTTTCAAAACTGGTTTTTAACAAACAATGAAATTTGTATCATTACTATGGTATTAAGTGCATTGTGTTTACTTGCCATTTTTGACTTTTTATTGGCAGTAAAATATGCTTAGATTTAAGATTCTTCCACATAACTGATGTACTGAAAAAAAATCTTAGTGTAACATTACATTTTTTACATGGCATCAATATATCATCCTTGACTTTTTAAGACAATGCCATGCATTACTCATGCTTAAATTTCAAAATTAAAATCAACGTAAAAATTAAAGTGAATTAATTTTAAAATGATAAAGTTTTTAAATACTATTTATTAAATAATTAGACCACAGTGTAACCAACATTGAAGAAATACAGACTTCCTTTTGGCAGAAACAATACATGATACAGGCATATCAGTACTCTTGACAAAAATTTATTGTATACTTTATTAATACTAGTAAAACACAATAATAAACACTAATTCTACTAAATTCAAAGTAGTTTTGAAACTGGTTTGGCATTTGATATTTTAAATTCTTTTTACCAAAACCTATTTTGATAAAACAATTTTAAATTTAACAGTTAACCAATTTAAAGAATTTCTGGATTTTGTCAGCACTATTCTATACTCAAATTTTATACCTTTGTTCTTAACTTATGTATTTATGCTTAAATTGTCAACTAGGACTTAATTTATTACTAGTACTTATTATACTGGATATAACTGGTTCTGCAAGTTAAAAATCAAATCAGAAAAAACAGATAATACATATCCAATCCTATTCATCATTTATTATTCACTTTTAATTAAACATTCAAGAATGTTGAGATTGGATGTGTATTATTTATTGTCTTAAATATTATTGGATTCGAGGATGTATTTATAAACCATGATGTTAGATTGTCGGTTGGAAACCTGTTGATAACGGGCCCAAAGGTCTGAAACACAAAGATATCATGTGTGTTCAGGTGATAAATAAAAGACTGTTTTTTCTGATTCGATTTTCAATGTTTAGGTAAATTTTTTGTAATAAACTATTATATTTTTAAAGTATAAATTTTAAAAAATTGGATTAAAAAACTTGAAGAAAAAGTTTAATAGGCCTATAAATGCTGTTATGATTTAGGATTTTTTTACTAAAACAATTTTACAGAGTTATAGCTACTGTAACCATTTGTATTTTGCTTAATATTAAGTTTTTAAAGTATTTTTTAAAGAATATTTATAAATAATTAAATTTTTTAAATTTTATTTTGAAGAATGGGCCCAGTCCAAGATCCTGCCATAAAATGTGCCTTGATTCTGAAAGAAAGAAAATATTTACATTGGGAAAGTATTTAGATTCAACAATGAGAACTCCAGAAAATTTAAAGGTATGAAAACTTTTAAAAAAACATTAGTCATTATAGATTAATTTTAAAAAATGTTATATTTTTGTGTCTGCATTCATTATTTTATAATTAGCATGTGGAAAAATATTATTAAAAATCATTTATTTTCTTATATTTAATTTTGTTTATATTTTATAACATTAAATATTAAATTTTAATTTGATATACTATAATGTTTTTCATTTTTTTGTAATTTTAACTTATCTGTTCTTACTCTTTCAATTATATTGTAGTAAAGGTATTGGTGAAAAAGATATGCTTTGTTTTATTATCAATTTTAAATATTTTGAGTTTATTTGATAATTATTGCTAGCTTTCTCATATTTATAATACTGTTACATTTTAACTACAGTGGAACCTCGCTTAGGCCCTGTACACACTAGGCGTTTTTCAATGCGCGTTTAACGCTGAGCTAACGCGCGTTAGCTCGGCGTTTAGCACTGGCTCAGTTTGGAAATGGACGAGAAAGTAATTGATTGTGTGTGCTCCTCCATCGTCGCTATAAGGCAGCACATATATCTCAAAGCGCCCGTAAAGTGCCCGCAAAACGCGCGTTTTAACAAAAATCTATAAACGCGCGTTTAACGCGTGCTTGGCATTTGAGTGTGTACGGCTACATAGAACTCTTGGTTCTTTAAAACGCGCGTTTAACGCGCGTTGAAAAATGCCTAGTGTGTACAGGGTCTTAATGAGCACAATTTGTTCCAGAATCTTACTCGTAATGCAAAACACTCATTAAGCAAAACAATTTTTCCCATATAAATGAATATAAAATACAATAATGCGTTTAATGCTGAAAAAATATTTTATGTATAACGTGTATTCAAAGAAAATTATACTGTATTTAATTGTAACTTTTACATAGCCGTAGAATTTGGCATATTGTTTGGCGTGTTTATTATATAACAGGCTATTGTTGTTGATGTTTATATTTTAATCTTTTATTCTCACTCAGATTCTTTAACAATATACAGTCAACACACCTTAATACTGAGAATGCACATTTATTCAGCTAAACAAATGTTTTCAACCCATTTCATGGGCCATCATCAGGTTAAAGACGTTCGAATCCATGCCATTATTGAACATGTTCAAATTTAAATTATATTAGAACATATGTTGAAATTAAATTACGTAAACAAGCATAATGAAATTAATACAATAAATATGAAAAACAAAATAATATAAAAAGGAATACAAAATACGGTAATTTCCTGCAATACAATATGTAAACATTTTTTATATGCAGTAGAGCGTCGATTATCCAAAACAATTCCAGTCGGCAAATTTAAATTTTCGCCAGTGCTGTGGCGCTGCAATCTTTGGCTATGTCTTGGCTACTCAAATATTTTACGTTTTTGATACTAAATTAACTTCTGAAGTATAATTTTTTATTGTTTTTATATTTTTCAATATATTTATTTTGTTTGTACAAAGTAAAGAAATAATTTTTAACGATACAATAGTCACGATTATTATTTTAAAAAGTTTACGTTAGGCTTAACATCGACGAAAATTCAATGCAAAGCGACACGCAACGGAGAAAAATTTCAACATGGGATAGGTTAATATATTTTTTCATACATAATCGGTTATTCGAAACATCAATCTTCCAAACAACCCCAGTCCCCAATTGATTCGGATAATCGACGCTCTACTGTAATAACACAGGTTTTTATTGAGCCTGGTGGATGTATCATCTTATGAGTTTTTTTCTGATTATGTATTTCCATGCCGACGGTAAAATGGTTGCATCCTTATAGTTTAAACATTTATCCATCAAGCTAGATCTGTAGATCTCACACTTCTCTGTTGTGGACGCAAGTGTTGGCGAGTGTACCTTTGCAATGATTCTGGCCTCCTCCCATTTAACTATGGATCCATCTGTTTGCACTATTTTTGATAACGCTGTTGCATATCGGCTCTTTGCAACGTCATACTTATGCTCCTTCATCCTCACGCTAAGGTTTCTATTAGTGACTCCTATATATTCTTTATCTATTCCTAATTGGTCGTTCTTGTACGGTATTGCATATACTCTTGCTTGTTTTGTTTCATTAATTTTTTCTTTGTTGTTTCTGAGCAACGTATATAATGTGGGAGTTCTTTTGTATACTATATTGGTGTTTTTGTAGTTCGCGATTTCTTTCGTAACCGGGAATAGACGTTTATTATATGTGAATTTTGTGATGTTGCTGCTTCCCTCTGGTTTTTTCTTTTTGTTCTTTCTAGGATCATTGTATGTGGTAATTAGATGCTCTACAGATCTTGTTCCAAATCCCAACCCTTTCACCACTTTTTTAATTCTGTTCAGTTTCTCCATTGTGTCCATCACGTTATAGCAATACAGAAACGCTCTTCTGATTAGCGCCCTAAAGGCAGAAAGTTTATATACAGTTGGATCATTAGATGTCACTGGTATATATATCGGATCATGAGTAGGCTTGATATACACCTTTGTATACAGTGATCCATTCCTAAATTCAATGCTAATGTCTAAGAAATGTAGTTCTTTGCTACTAATCTGTTCCAGGTTCAGTTTTAAACCATGCTGGTTGGAATTCATTTGGCTCAAGAATTGTTGTATCTTTGTGTCGTTCTTCCATACAATTAGCACATCGTCAATGTATCTGTTGTATAGGATTATGTCTTCATTGTAGTTGATAAGTGCAGAGCGCTCCATTTTTCTCACCACTAACTCACAGAGCAGGCCAGACATTGGGCTGCCCATCGGGACCCCTCTTAACTGCTTAAAAATTTTACCTTCGAAACTGAAAAATGATTGAAAGCATACAAGATCTGCCATCATTTCGAGGTCCTTTTGTTGTTCGGATGCATTCGGGTGCAACTCACATAATAGGTTTATTAGTGCATCAAAACATGCAGTAAGATTTATCAATGGATACACATTACACAATATCTTATATATTTTTTAAATATAGAAAATTAAGACATTAGTCTTATAATTGTAAATTAATTAATTTTACAATAGACAACAATTATATAATTTAATAACAAGTATTGTACAAATTACTTAAATTTTTTAAAATTATTGAATTAATTTAAAAAACTAAAGACAATTCTTTAAATACTTAATTTATTTTATTGTTTTAATTTCAGAGTGATTTTCATGTTTATGATATAGATACTAATAAATGGACACAAATAACAGATGACACTGCAGCAATGGGTGGNAGTCATATCATTTACAGAAAAGTAATTGACAAATTATTAGTGTTATTGATATCATTGGACAATATTGGCAGAATACTTCATGCTCATTGAGAAAAAATATATCTAAACAAATAAATTGACTATATAATCCATTTATAGTGATGTTATATTGTTGAATTTGCAAGAAATTAAATAATTGACTATCAGCTTATTTTATTTATATGTTTATTTACTTTTGTATAAAAATTCCTTGGATGGATAAAAAAGGAATTCTTATATATTTACTGTACAGCAGTTAGTCATTACACTTTTGTGTGTATAATAATAGAATTACAATACATAATGTATTACACAGTTAAAGTTTTAACTATAGATTTGAAACTATTATCTATATTAGGACAAGTTGTTGTTAATAATATTTCATGAGTTATGGTAAAGAATAGTACTACTTGCATTAATCAACAATAATAATAATAATAATAATAATAATAATAAAATGTCACCATAAAGGTTATGATTGCATCTATCTCAAAAAATTTGTAAACCTAAACCTGTAGATTTCATTTCAAAATTGTTAAAAAGGATAAAATAAGTAAAAATTTTTCATTTCCTTAATAACTTAAGCAGATGAAATAGTGATAATTTTAATTGCTTAGAAGAGTAATTTCTAATATGAATCCAGTAAAATTCAGCAAATCAAAATATGAATATGTTTCAATCTATCTATTCATAAAAATCAAATGCAATCAACACAATGTCAGTATATTACTTAAAAAAAGGAAGAAATGCAAAGATAAAAATGTTTAAATTTATTAAGTATACTAAATCAGATGAGTCAAAGGAACTCGTCTTGTTCATTTTATACAAAATTAACAGTCCATTTATACCATCCATTCTTTGGATGATAGTGTCAATATGATCAATATTTCTAAATGCACAGATTCTGTAATTTATTAATTATTTTTTACAGCTGATGTGACATAAATTATTAGATGCTACATTTCTGCATTGAATGTTACTCAACTGCATCACTCTACATCTAGGTCCTGTATTTATCGTAGTGAGTATGGAGGCCAAGAAAATGGTCAGCAAACAGAACCCTGTCCACGATTTGCTCATCAGTTAGTTTATGATCATGTTAAAAAGGTTAGTAAACATTTGCTTTATTTTGGACTTAATATCTTCAAAAATTTAAAACAAACATTAATCTTTTAAAGTGAATTTTTTAACTGTTTATAGATATTAAAATGAATAAAAATTACTAAAAGTGAAAATTCCTTTTGTAGTAGAAAAAGTTATTTTATTTATTTATTCATTATTTTATAGTAAAAAATTTAATTAAAAATTATTTCTAATATCAATTAGATATAATGAAATTTAAATAATGAGACATAAATATCTATTATGTAATGTCAAATTTTCATTGGGCTTCAATTTGAAAAAAATTGTAGACCTATAAATTCCCACAGTTGTCTGTCTGTCTTTCCTTAATCTCGAGAACAGAGTTAGATGAAATCTGAGACAAGATATGGAAACCTTAGGGGCAGGAGGCCCTGATTAACTATATATGAACTTTCAATGCAAACCATAAGTCACATTATTTCAGTTCAAAATTCTTCCCTGAAAGCAGTTAACCACTCAACAGTGAGGGACGGATATATCTGTCCAGGGTGATCGTGTGGCAATGGTGAGGGATGGATATATCTGTTAAATTCTTTTGGGGGTATCGTCAAAAACTACTGTGAAAAAAATTCACATAAAAAATGAATTATGTAACAATAAAAAAAGACTTTTCTTTACTAGACATAATTTTACAAAATATTTTTCCAAAAGAGTAATGAGAAAAAAACATATGGAAAAATACTTTAAAAAGTTTCCACATGCTTATTCCCCATTACTTTGGGGTAGCATCATACCAGACTATGGCCACGTTTCTTTATGCAGCACTCACATTTCTTTACAGCAAACACTCTGAAATCCATTTCTAAATGCAGTGCTGCAATGTAGCGAACCATTTCTAAATGTTTGCTGCAGCAAAGATAAAGCAGCTTTTACATCTGCTATACATATAAAGCAAAATGGATGCTTGTGTGTATAATATGATATTATGCTGTAAAAATAAAAAAGTCGAAGTGACTGTTTATAAAAATATTATGGAAAGATTAAGAAGGATTAAATTTTATAAAATGACTCTGAAAGTTATCTAAAGAATAAGAAAATACTATATTTTAANACTTCTGATTTAAAAATATCTTAATTTTAGTATTGTTTTTAATTATTTAAATTAAATGTTTTAAAAAATATGTAATTATGTATAAAACTAAGTTTGACATATAGTAATAATAATCAAATGATCCACTGAATTTTTAATCAGGCTGTGATATGGCTAATTAATTTTAAAGATATTACATAATTTGGACTAGTTTAATAGAAATGGTGGATAACTGCCTATCTTTAGTCCAAATTATGTAATATCTTTATAATTAATTAATTATATCACAGTGTGATTAAAACTGCAGCAGATGATTTGATTATTAAAATAAACATGATTAATATAAAATTTTAAAAAATTTATAATATAGTCTACATGTATTGACTTTCAGAATATTCTTTAAAGTATTTTAAATGCTTTGGTTATTATTGTTATATTTATTATTTTTTGTTTACTTAGGCAGTTTACAACTAATTTAATCATTTATATCTATTATAGAATTTTTCATATTAAACTCTCTATTAACAGTTATTGTGCTCTGACATTTTAAGCATAAATTCAGTAATTTAATCGTTTCATTAATTATCATAAATATTTATTATCATTATGGCACTTGAAATTTGCAAATGTCATTTCTTAGTTCAATAAGTTCTTAAAATAATCATTGACAAGTTAAGATGGATGCTGATAGTATACTTATCATTTGTTTTCCTTTGGTTTCTTTAAAACAATAGTTTAAGTTACTGACACATTAATAATTTTTTTTATATCAGTAAAAAAATACATTAATATCTGAATTTTAAATTATTGTCTTAATTTCACCAAATACATCTGCACTAAAATGAGAAATGAGTTTTAGCATTTAGTTTTAGATATTTCAGATAATAATATCTCAGAAAAATCTGTTTCTTTTAAATTTTGATTTAATCATTAAATGCTGCTGAAACTAATATATCATGTTTTCTCAGCATTCGTAGTTTATTTAAAGTTTATTTTCATGATAAAAATTGTTTAAATTGTAAAAACAGTTTTAATTGCTAAGTTTATATCAAACAATATTACAAAATAATTGTTGATGAAGAGATTAATATGAGAAAATGGATCTGATAGAAAAATATTAAAATAAGTCCAGATAACATAGATATTAAAAAAAATTAGTAATTATCAAATTTCTACTAAATTACTAAAATTTAATCATTCGTAAAAACTCCTGATAAATAAATGCTCTTCATAATTAGGAAAATTTGAGAAAATTTGTATATTCTTGTAGTAGCATATGATATTTAATAATATAAGAGATAATCAGAAAGTTTCCATTCAAAGGCTGTAGATGAGGTAAGTTCATTCCATAAAGAAGAAAGCATTAATGAAATTGTACCATTGACAAACCAAGTTAACAATTCCCTTCTAGTAGAAGTTGGTTGACTGCTGCATAAGAAAGTTTAATATATCCCTCTTCATGTTGTTTGACTGGAACTATCATCCTTTCAGAGACTTTCTCAGAGAACTGAAGACATGAAAAACACACACGCAGAGAGAGATGAGACCGTATTCTGGTCATCATCTGTCATCTTCATGAGACATTGTCTATATCACAAGCCAGTCGCTGATTGGCTAATAATTTGTCTTGAGAGATCATTGCATCTCTCCAAATGCAATTTTGGACAAGTTTTTCTCTTAAAGATTCTGTCTCCCAGAGACCAGCGGATAGTTGTCTTTCATCCAGTCTTTTGTCTGTTGCCTTGATTTCGTTATATCCAGTATGAGTGACTGAATGCTACATGCAATGCACTGTACAATCATATTAGAGAATGTTCTATATCTCAGAAAAGAATATTTCCAGAGAGAAAATGCTTCTGATTTTTTTCCAGTGCCTACTCAGAAATGCCACTAATTCCATTCTTTTTAATTATCCTACATCAATCACTAAACTATTGAATATCATGTTAATCTTATCTGTCTCTAAGTATTTTTCAAAATATTACCATCTAATTTCTCCTTAACACACTTTTCTAACTTAGATTATTAAAATTTTTACTTATTAAGAGACAATTTGACATTACAATCTGTAAAAACAATATAAAACAAAAAAAAACATATCTTTGTCAAAATTACATGCTTTATTTGAACTCGTGTTTTCCTTACCATGTGATCTATAATTACATACTCTATATTTTTGAAAATTTTACAATTTTATTGGTTAAAATTTTATACCATGTTGTATGTGCATATAACCTGAACATGTATAATCAACCTAATTGAATCCTGATGTGAACAACAAAGACTAGATCATTACAAACAAGAAGAATTGCCTCTGTCTCTGAGAGATGAATTTCATCTCTTGTTTTTGATCATTTGTCTCTGAAAGAAGAGATGAAAGATAAGTGATCAGAATATGGCCCCTGGACTTTACAGTGGATACTCCAGGGGTCTCCCATTTAAGGGTGCCCAATTTTTGTTTGATGACATTGTCAACATGAGGTTGTATATTGTTGTGGCCTTCACAAGCTTTACACATCATTTGACAATAGTAGTTTTGGGCATGCATGCATCTCCATAAATCTTTACCGTTCTGCAGTCTTCCACCCCAAAAACAACAACACATTGATCTGATTTGGAAGTATTTGGTAGTAATGATACTATCAACATATGTACACATAATCCATAAACAATTCTGAGTGCAACAAATACCTTATTGCATAGCTAGATCATTGGTTTTGCATTGGCTCAGTCTGGACACAGTACATGTCATACATGCAACTGCAGCATTGTTGAACAATAAGTTTTTGATCATCCTCTTATAGATTGTTTCAAATTAAATTTGAATTTAGATAAAATATAAATAGTATTTAATTTGAATTTTCAGTAATTCAGGAAACTGATATAATCATTTGGTTTGTTAAAAAATTTATTTTCATTTATCACTTTTATGTAAGTATTTCTTTGTAGATTTTCAGATGAGTTAAATCTTGAAAGAGTATTTTATGTTATATGTTAAAAGTCTTTAAATTCTTAGAAATATTGCAAAAACAGGAATATCCAATAAATATTTTTGATTTATATCAGATTTCAGATTATTCAGCTGTCATTATTTATAGTTATGTTATAGATACAAGGGGGTATCAGAAAGTTTCCAGACTAGGCCTATAAGAATTTACAGGATAATATTATTAGAATTTAATTGCCATCCTCTTCAAAATAGTTTCCTTGGGAGCATATACAGTGATCCTAGCACTTCCATGACACAAAGACATCATGGAAAGTCTTCTTCCTGCAAGGTTTCCAATACTGTCTATGATTCTGCTTGGATCAATGGTCTTGAAGCAATGCCTTTTTAACCTCAGTTTCAATTTTGGGAACATGACAAAGTCATGGGGCTAAATCAGGTGAGTATGGAAGGCATGGAACAACTATCATCCTGTTTCCTGCCAAATACTACATCATCTTTAGAGAGATGTGAGAGAACACATTGTAATGATGCAACAGCCAATTGTGGTTGTGCCGCAGTTCCAGTCATTTTTGTCTCACATTTTTTCTTAAGCAGCTCAAAACATTGAAGTAAAAGTCAGAATTGACTGTCATGCTGGGAGGAACAAAGTCTTGGTGAATGATGCCCCTAATGTTGGAAAAAAACCATAAGCATGCAGTTTATTGCACTTCTGACTGCATCTTTTTTTGGTGATAGTGGACTCTTCCATTGTGATCACTTGTTTTGTTTTGGGATTGTAGCCATAAACCCAAATTTCATTGGTCATAATGATCCTCAATAAGAGAGTTAAGGTATCATTGTCCATTTTGAGAAGCTCACTGCACATGTCAAGACACCACTGCTTTTGTTCACCTGTCAGGAGCCAGGGCACAAATTTTGCAGCAATGCAATACATGTTCAGATTGTCTGTGAAAATCTCCTGGCAAGTTCCATAACCAATTTCAACTATTCCACAGAGCTGATGGATTGTTTGGTTGTGGTCCTCATGGATCAGTTGGCAAATTTTTTTGACGTTTTCTTCTGTTTTGCTGGTGATTGGCTGCCTTGTATGCTTGTCATCTTGAATTAACACTTGATCAGCCTTGAACCGTGTGCCACTCAAAAACCTATGTTTAACCTAGTGTGAGCATGAGGGTTTTGAGGGTGTAAATTTTTGTGTTTAACATTTTTAACATTAGAGGATGAAATAAAATTATTGCAAGTTCCCACAGAAATAGATCGGATGTCGACTCTTAAACATCGACAAGTTAGGAAGGAAGAAAGGCAAGTCATCGCGTGTCTGCTAATTAGTCATTGTGCGCGTGCTAATTAGTCATCATAGCGAGTGAATGACCAGTTGGCTCAGTGCCAATGATGATCGTATAAAAGCAATCGTCACAGGAAGTTCAGGGCGATTGTCCCTCAACTCAATCGTCCCAGGAATGTCTGAGTACAAGTGTCTCTGTCCCGGTCCTGTCCAAGGAGAAATCGGTAGAAGACATAAGACTGTTCCAGCTTCCATAGTCCCAAATGATCGTCGCATACCATCATCCAACAGCATATTAAGGTATATCTGAGTGCAGTAAACTTTGTAAACTCTCTCACTCTAGAGGTTAGGCATGTGACATAGTTACTAGTTAGATCGCCGTCATAGATAGATTTGTGTTATCCGCATTTAAGCATTTAATCATTTAATTCTTTATGAATACTCATGTAAATTAGCTTTAGTTATATAATAAACTCCTTCTTTGTTGTTTAAAGCTGTCTCCTATCTATCCAAGGAAACCTGTCGACTTACTGATGCACTCCCCACTCGTTTTGCCCTCCTAGCCAGCCATCCAAATGACTCCGAGATCAGTCTTTACCAGCCCATGCAGATTAAGAGGTCAGGATGAGACCCCCTGCTTATCTCACACTAGCAAATATTTGCTGAAAGTCTATGAAAGCATTTTCAGGGCCTTGGTAACAGATTTCCTGGGCTTCACATGAAACTTGATGGCTGAATATTGCTCAAATCTGTCAGACATTGTATAGATCACAGAATGATCTTTGCACTATATACAAAACTGCACATAATGACTGAATGCATGTTTACATTACAAAGCTGCTTGGTATAATGAATCAGCAGATATGGAAGCATTGACCTTGACAAGCATGTGCACTTCTGTTGAATGGTACTGTAATGCCAGCTATAGTGCTGGAACTTGCTGATACCACCTTGTACTGAATATGGATTTGAAAATTAAGCAAAAAAAATTATTGTAAAACTTTATATTAGAAAAAATCAAGTACTAAAATCCTTGATATTATCAAGAAAGTATTAAAAAAGAAATATATTTTACTCTGAAAAAGATTTTAGAAAAGAAAACTGATTTTTTATCAAAACATTATGGTAAAGATCAAGATTATTTTATAACATTTGTTTTCAGAAAACTTTTTTGTATAACAAAGATTGCATTATATAAAGTGTTTGTAACAAGTGAATTTGGTTCATTAAATTAATTAAAGATAAAGTTTTAAAAAATATATATAATCTATACTGTTTAGTTTAGTTGATTCCACATTGACTCTGTCATAATTTCCTTTTTTTTTATATATACACTCATGTCCAAAAAATAAGAATAAACATTAATTTGGCCTATATCATAGGAACTACTTACTGATCAGAATAGCATAAAACTTAACATATAATCAGAGCATTGTATTTTTTATGTAATACAACAATTGAAAAGCAGAACTTTAATCTAAATTATGTCAAATCAAAAACAACAAGAAAAAGTATTAAGCATTGTTGTTGAGTTTTTTCACAGAAAATGATTAATATGGCATATGATTTTGTCCTGTATGCACACACCCTGCACAGCAATTGCTCATACTGGTTATAGTGTTGTTTAATAGCTTTGTTGGAAGCAAAATGTGTTCTTGAACAAGAGAATCTTAAAGCTCCCAGAGTGTTCTTGGTGGTAGTTGATGAGATACAACTAAAGCATCCCATACATTCTATGGGATTTATGTACATGTTAGTCATTTCATATGACAAATTTTGTCAAGAAAGTCATTGGTGAGTGCAGACCTGTGTGTTTCATCCATGAAAATGAAATTACATTCATAGCATCTCAGAAAAGTCTTGCATGGGGTTTCAAAATCTTCTCTCTCTACCTTCTTGCAATAATAGCACTCCTCACAAAAGTATGAAACTTGATCATTTTTCACTCTATCTATGAATTGGATGGTTATTTTTTGGACATGAGTACACTTTGTGAAGTGATTTAGATATATATTTCATCAAATTAATATTTAAAAAGTTTTTAAATTTTTTTTACCATTTGGTAAAAAAAATTTAAAAACCATTTAAATTGTTTTCATTTTTTCTTGCACATTATGGGTTCAGCCAGATCCAAATGGCCAGGAGCAATGATGAGGATAGACAGCATTTCAGGTCAAATTATTCATGAAAATTTATGAGAATCCAACCTAGACTTAAATCCATATTTCTCAGAGTAGAAGACATATTTTTACTGTTTTAGCTATCTAGCTAAAATTGGCATTTTTTATTATTATAACTTTTTAGANATAAATGGACACAAATAACAGATGACACTGCAGCAATGGGTGGACCAAAACTAATATTTGATCATCAAATGTGTATGGACATTGGTAAAAATACTATTTATGTTTTTGGTGGAAGAATTTTAAATAGGTAAAAATTACTTAATTTTATTGTTTTATCTATTTAATTGTATTAAAATAATATAATTCCATAAAATACAAAACTTTTAATTAACACAGTTTTTATATTTTATAATGCTATTCTATAACTAAGCTATACTAAATTTTAATTAAAATTTTTTAAAAATTTTAAATGCTTTCTTACATGTGTCAATTAAATTTGCTAATTGATGTTTAAACTACAGATTTATTGATTTTGATTAACTTTATGGATGATGTAAGCAATCATTGTTAATTGGCATTTATAATCAATAAAATTCAGTTGTTGCTATATTGTTTGTATTAACATGATTATTGTAATTTTATGGAATTCAAGATAACTATAAATTTTACAAAATAAAGTCAATATTAAAAAATGAAATATTCTATTTCAGTAATTTGGCAACAGTAGATGATAGGTTATGTACAGAGCCATCATTTAGTGGATTATATGCATATCATGTACCAACTAACACCTGGCATAAATTAAGAGATGATTCTTCGAATGTTAATTTAGGCCCTCAAGAAATAAAATCTCGCATTGGTCATTCAATGTTATTTCATGAAGTGAGTTATTTCAGAAATTTTTACATTTAGAATCTTTTATCAAATTATTAATATTTAGTTCTTTTTACCTTTATGTCCTTACTGATTTACTAATTTTTACATTTCTGTGTATATACTGTCTACTTGGACCTTGTTTATTAATAGGACTTATTAAACTGATATAGTTTTTGATTAGAAAAGAGAGGAGAACTTAATCAAAATAAAATATTTTTATTTTCAGGTAAAATTTTTGACTTTTGACTAAGATCTCCTCTCTTTGCTAATCAGAAACTATATCAGTATAATAAGTCCTATTAATAAACAAGGTCCAAGTAGACAGTATATACACAGAAATATTAGTATTTAATGCTAAAAATATTCAGGGTATAGTATTATTACCATATTTACTCACATATAAGAAAACCTCGCATATAGAACAAGGTCGTCTTAAAAATTGATGCGTAGAACTGAATATCAAAATGGTGTGACTTTAAAGATCAAAATAAAGAAAATTAGATTTATTAATACAATTCTAATTTTATTTCATGTAATCACAAGTAAAATATCAAATGAATGTAAATCCACACATTATCCCACAAAAATTACTGGCATCTTAAACTTTTAAGGAAAATCTTGTAAAATTGACAACATAATTTGTTAATGTAAAGCTGGACAATTAGGAACCTTTTTTTGCCAATTCTTAACAGTCAAATCAACTCTCCATCAATTAGACTTACGAGTTTCTCTGAATTCTGATTTCTGAGTAATCATCTGTTTTCACATGGGAATGGATTAAAACATATATTGTGCTCCCATGTGATATTGGAATTTCAGGGTATAGAATTCAGGGATGGAATTCCAGAAAAGGAGATGGAATTTCAGGGTATATGAATTCAATTCAAAAGCTTCGCTTTTCCTATTGCTATTCATCTTTACACCTGACAATATACAAGAACGATTCAAATGACATAGATAAAATACTTTTGTTTTAAAATACAAGAGGGTATGCATCCAGTAAAAAATGCAAATACACAGTTCACAAAAATTATTTGCAGAAATGCAAAGAAACTTTTGCTCATGTGTATAGGATGACCTAGGAATTTGAAGCTGTGATAAATGAATAAAAACCTTGTCTTATATGTGAATAAATATGGTATTTATGAATGTATAAATAACAACAACGTAAATTATAATTTGCTAGAAATTTAAAAAAATTTTTCAGAAATCAAGATTGCTGTATATATTTGCCGGACAAAGGTCAAAAGAATATTTAAGTGATTTTTTTACATATAATGTTGATTCTGATGAAGTTGAAATTATATGTGATGGAACACAATCTGAAGGTAACATATTAATAAGTATAGAAATTATATTATTCTATTTTTTGAAATATGTAATACAATTATAATTTTAAATTTATTAATATCTAATTAATGCTTTGTAGTGCCTGCTGCAGGATTTACACAAAGAGCAACAATTGATCCTGATTTAAATGAAATTCATGTTCTTTCTGTAAGTAATGTAAAATGAAAAATAGTATTTTTCATCACTTAACGTGCACATAAAATTAATATAGAAACAGATTATACATTATCTAAAAGTCAGAGGAATTTTTAATCTTCATTTTCAATCTCCACTTCATAAGGCTATATATAGCAACAGGTTATTATAAAAGTTGCACTTAAAATGCACACATAGGAAGAAAACATACTTTTATAATCTCTTACTGGATATAGTCTTTTGAAGTTGAAATTTGTTTCTACATTAATTGTAGTATTATTCTCTCATTCTGTAACTTTTTAATATGTTTCTATGTATAGTATGTATCTTGAACTATGATGCTATAAACTTTAGTTCAAAATATGTACCATATAAGAGATCATACTTAGAGACATTATAGAATATGATGGATCATGGAGTCTCATTTGGGATTCATGTATAATAATATATTTGCTTTATAATACAGTTGTCTATAATTGGTAATCAAATGTCAAGTAACTGTTTTTATTTCTCTGAACATTGATAATTGTAATAACGGACAAATTGTTACAAGAATTGTTTATGTTAATAATTGGATGATTATGATTATTCATTACATTATGATGAAATATTGACTTTTCAATGAATATGTATTATCAATATGTCTATAGATTTTTGTGCATAATAAGGCTAAAAACAGATCATAGCCAAATAGATTGATTGATGCCCTAGAACTGAATATCAATCATCTATTTGCTTTTTATTTGAGCACAGATATATAACTAATTAGAAATTACTAAGATAAATTTTATATATATAATTAACTGATTCTTGAAGAGTATTGATATGTAGACAGTTTGGAATCTGATGTCATCTCTTACAGCATTTTGGAAAAAGACAGTTTTAAAAGTGATGGCTTCATAGTGCAAGTTGGCATTAGGGGTTGCAAATTTATCAACTTTTTTTTATTAACAATAATACAGTAAACTTTCAAAATGTTATTGGTTTACTGATAAATTACTGGTAATTTTTCAAGTTTGACTCCAAATGTGAAAATTTTAATAAAACATTGTGCTAATAATTCTTACATAAAAAAAGACCCAAATTAAACCATAAATGAAAAAATTGTATATATTAAAATCTACATTTTTTCCCCCCTCATTGTGTAGAAAATAGGCTCTTAAAATACAGCAGGTACTTAAAATATCAAATAAAGCAAAGATTAATTAAAGAATACCAAAGTAGGTTAAATGCTATTCTCAGCACACAGTTAAAGCAATAAACACATATGTTGTTCCAGTATTATTTTATTCCTTTGGAGTTATACATTGGACTCACACAGATCTTGAGCAACTCCAAAGGAAAACAAGAACAACACTTACTAAGCATAAACAAATCATTCTGAATCCGCCACAGAAAGATTAATTCTTCCACGTAAATATGGTGGACGTGGTCTGATCAACATGGTAAACCTTCACTACAAACAAATACAGTCACTGAGAGTTTTTCTACAAAAAACAAGAAACATTACAGTTACATAAAGCAGTAACTCTAGCAAACTCAAATAACACACCATTAAACTTACACTCACATCATACAGACATGACACAACACATAAAAAGCATAGACACCATTAAGCAATCGTGGGCTCGAAAGGCACTCCATGGCAGGCATCCTTATGACCTGGCCCTGGATTTTGTTGACAAAACTGTGTCAAACAGCTGGTTAGATCAGGGATGCCTCTTTAGGGAGATGGAAGGATTCATGATTGCCATACAAGATCAGGCCATAAATACTAAAAACTACAGAAAACACATACTCAAAGATACTCACAAATGACACATGCAGAAAATGTCACATCATGCCAGAATCCATATAACACATCACTTCTGGTTGCAAGCTCTTGGCACAAACAGATTACTTACATAGACACAATCAAGTAGCAAATATAATACACCAAGAGCTTGCAAAGAAACACAAATTGGTAGACATTCACNTAATTTACAGTTATTCAAATTCAGTTATTTAATTATTCAAATGTAATTTTCAGTTATTCAAATTTATGCTAAATGGATAATTCTTCTTTAGTATAAATTTATAATGCTACTGCTTATTATTTTATTAAGTGTGTTTCAAATCTGAAATGATGAAAACTTTTTATAATCTTAACTTTCTATTAATTAATTAATGTATATGTAATTCTTTGATTACATATACATTCTGTCAAATAAATACCAGGAATTGTCCATTTCGAAAGGCTATGTAAAAGATATGAAAACTACTTGCTGTAAGTTGGTACTAGTGTGTGTGTAATGTAGCGCCATCTGTCAACCAATTTATTTACAACTGTTGGTTTTGTCATCGAACGTGAAGTGTGCTTTGCAATTTTCAAAATGGACAAAAATATTGAACAAAGTTTGTCTAAAATTTTGTGTTGCCAACAAAATTTCTTTGGCTGAGAAATTGAAAATGTTGCAGAAGGTCTACAGTGAGTCAGCTTTATCCAAAACATGTGCATATGAGTTGTACAAAGCATTTAAAGATGGCTGAGAAGTGGGGGAAGACTTGTCTTGTTCTGGTTGATCTTTATCATCTTCAACTGAGGAAAAAATCGGCAAAGTGAAGGAAATGGTGATGGAAAAATCATCATTCAAGCTTGAGAGAGATGGGTAAGAATCTAAACATGTCTCATGAATTTGTTTGCACTACTTTAGTGGGTGTTTTTGGGCATGAGATCTGTCACAGCACAACTTGTTCCGAAGGTGCTAAATTTTCTTCAAAAAAGATCTTTAGGAAAAGATTGCTGAAGACATGCTTGAATGAGCCAATTTAGCCCTCACATTCTTGAAACTCATCATAACAGGTGATGAGATGTTTATGAGTTTGACATGCAAATCAGTCAACAAGCTTTGGAATGGCACTACGAGAATGAGCCATGTCAAAATCAAAAAAAACCACATCAAAGTTGCACAAAAAATCAATGTCATGTTGACTGTTTTCTTTGCCTGTCATGGTGTTGTCCACTTGGAATTTCTTCCAGAGGGACAAACAGTCAACAAACAATATTACTGGGCATTATGAGGTGTTTGAGAATGTTTGATGGAAAAGACCAGATTTGTGGAAGAACAATTCTCGGATGTCTCATCACGATAATGTGCCATCTCAAACATCGGCCCTTGTATGTAAATTTTTAATCAAAAACACAATGAATGTCATCGACCAAGCACTGTATTCACCTGATGTGGCCCCATGTGACTTTTTCCTCTTCCCCAAATTCAAATTACCACTTTGTGGAAAATGTTTTGAGTTGATTGAAGAAATAAAACAAAATTTGCAGAGGGATCTTCAGGCTATACCAGAAAGCACTTATAAGAAATGTTTTGATGACTGAATTGTTTGTTGGCAGAAGTGTATTGCATCAAACAGGGCCAGCATATTTTGAAGGCAAAAAAATAAATTTGGGTAATTAAACCAATATTTTGTATTTTATTTAACAATTCCTGGTATTTATTTCACAGAATGTATTTTTATTAAATATGTTTTCATCTAATATCTGATTGTTAAGTAATTAAAATTCATAAGTTAATCAACTATGAATAGAGAGAGTGAATAATTTCCTCATTATCACAAATTATTAAATATAATAAACATGAAAAGAGGTGTTCTTATTATTTTTTCATTATATTTCTCTCTCATTAGATCTTAGAAATCATAATTTTCATATGTTCAAAACTGACATTTTATTTAATGATTTCAGATGGCAACAAAACCAATTTTTGGTAAATCGTGGTTTTAGAGAAACCAAAATGCTATTTTCAAAACTGGTTTTTAACAAACAATGAAATTTGTATCATTACTATGGTATTAAGTGCATTGTGTTTACTTGCCATTTTTGACTTTTTATTGGCAGTAAAATATGCTTAGATTTAAGATTCTTCCACATAACTGATGTACTGAAAAAAAATCTTAGTGTAACATTACATTTTTTACATGGCATCAATATATCATCCTTGACTTTTTAAGACAATGCCATGCATTACTCATGCTTAAATTTCAAAATTAAAATCAACGTAAAAATTAAAGTGAATTAATTTTAAAATGATAAAGTTTTTAAATACTATTTATTAAATAATTAGACCACAGTGTAACCAACATTGAAGAAATACAGACTTCCTTTTGGCAGAAACAATACATGATACAGGCATATCAGTACTCTTGACAAAAATTTATTGTATACTTTATTAATACTAGTAAAACACAATAATAAACACTAATTCTACTAAATTCAAAGTAGTTTTGAAACTGGTTTGGCATTTGATATTTTAAATTCTTTTTACCAAAACCTATTTTGATAAAACAATTTTAAATTTAACAGTTAACCAATTTAAAGAATTTCTGGATTTTGTCAGCACTATTCTATACTCAAATTTTATACCTTTGTTCTTAACTTATGTATTTATGCTTAAATTGTCAACTAGGACTTAATTTATTACTAGTACTTATTATACTGGATATAACTGGTTCTGCAAGTTAAAAATCAAATCAGAAAAAACAGATAATACATATCCAATCCTATTCATCATTTATTATTCACTTTTAATTAAACATTCAAGAATGTTGAGATTGGATGTGTATTATTTATTGTCTTAAATATTATTGGATTCGAGGATGTATTTATAAACCATGATGTTAGATTGTCGGTTGGAAACCTGTTGATAACGGGCCCAAAGGTCTGAAACACAAAGATATCATGTGTGTTCAGGTGATAAATAAAAGACTGTTTTTTCTGATTCGATTTNACGATATTAAATTAATGAATTTTATAATAGATTCTTAAACAGACTTGATACTTTTATGGAACTGAAATTATGACCCCGCAGATAACGACACTCGGTTATAACGTCAAAAAATTGCCGGTCCCATGGATGACGTTATAAGCAGGTTAAACTGTATATTAATTAGTTCATTTTTTGCGACAAAGGTCCTCACTTTTCTGAAATTCTTGTTTTTTTGCAATAAAGTCGTGAAGTTTCATTTGTCACTTTTTTTCTTCCCTTAATTAAATTAAGCAAATGTTGGTAGCAGAAGATTGCATCCAAAATGCCTCGTTTTGCTTTTGCACTCCTTTCAAAATCTGGATCATTTGCTACAATTTGATCAACGATTTTGGTTATCATTACCAAATTTTTACTAAGGAAATCCATAGAGAAATATTTTGGGTTCTTTGTTTTCAGAATCTCTATTTTCCAGTTCCACGTGAATTCCGTGTTCTGCCAGTTCTTGAAGGTCATTATTGGTCAGGCTCTCACCAGAAACCTGCTGTAACTCCTCAATATCCTGTTCGTCTACATCTTCTAGTCCTGCTGTATTGATTAGGTTGAGTTTGGTCAACCTAACAATACAGCGATAGGCTCTTCTCGTTGAGAATTCTTGGATACCTTCAGTTATAACTTCTTCCATATTTGTTCATGCATTTATCAGTTAATTCTTGCCAAGCGAAGTTGATATTTCCTATGGCATCCATGATGATATATTTTTTCCAAAATTTGACCAAACAAACATAGATTTAAAGAAAGTATACCTTTTTGCCACCTTCTGCTGATTGGTTTGTGTTCGCAAATAATCGTGTTATATATGAATCAATGAAATGCTGCGATAATTTAAATCAGCGTAAATTTGAGCTTTTTTAGGCTTCGAGCAGACCGTGTCATATTGAATCAGTGTTAAGTGAGGTCTTACTGTATATATCTTCTATCTCTTTACTTTATTCACATTTATGGAAAAATAAATGTTCAATTCTTTATATCTCTTTCTTTAATTATTGTAGTACTTTAACTAAAGCACTACTTTCGGCTGTAACTGGAATTAAAGGATAGATTATTGCATCCATGTTTCGTTCGAGTGGAAAGTGTTTCTAAACTATGAGGCAGCAATGTGTAGTGATAGCTGCTCATGACATCATTTACACTACACTCTTGCTGCATAAAGAAATGCAGCCTATCCCACTGCTGAAAGGTTAATAGATGACCAGCATGACTCTATTGCTAACAGGAAAAGTATGATGTATAGGGGCAAGACACTACTAATTTAAGATGGAGAGCATATATTTTAAATTAAATAAATTAAAAATTGTAGCCTGGCATTGTTACAATAAATAATTGCCTTCAAACAGGATGTTTTATTGATTATTGTTTTATCTATAGAAAAAAAAGTCAAATTTAGTGGAATGTATATGGGATGTGTGTATGTTCATTGGAAAGAAAATTTATGATTAATTATATTATGAAGTAATTTCAACTAATAGATTAGTTATTCCTGATTTTTACCAGGAATAACTAAAGCTCTTCATTGTATTTGGTTTGGATTGATCAAATTATATGCATTCATCAATGCATGGTGATCTTCATAGTATTCTGAAATTTGTTTGATAGTTTTGCCAGATGTTATCTCTAAATTAAAAAGCTAAATTCTAATAATGATGATTAAAAGAAAAATAATTAAATTATTCTCTAGTAATTATAAAAAATAATTACAACAATTGTTTCATTACTTAATTGAAATTTGTTTATTTAATATTAAAATCTTTTAACTTAATATCTTTAGATTGAATATAAAAAGTATTTTTCAAGAAAAAATTATTGTAATTATTGCATTTATATTTACTGTATTAATAAATGTTTTAGGTTCATTATTTATTTGGTGGAAATCCTGGTAGATCTTGCTTTCCAAAAATGAGACTAGATGACTTTTGGTCTTTACAGGTAAGCTATATCTTATGATTATTGATTTTCAATATTTTTTGTATTTTTTGATTTTAACTTTTTAACTTTTACTTTTTAAAAAATTAGTTATGCCGATCTACCAAAGAACAGCTTCTTAGGCAATGCCAACGTTTAATTCGTCAGCATCACTTTCAGGAAATCACTCAAAATGATCCAGTAGCAGCATTAACATATTTGCAAACGGAATTAGCAGCAACTGTTGATCATAATGATATTGAAGAAACAAGAGAGGTAATTAATTTAATATTTACAGTTATTCAAGAATATTCTTATTATGAATAGAATTTTTCATTTGAATATCAATCTATAAGAACATTTATTACATTGAAACAGTCATTCTCCATTTAATAATTACCTAATAAGTGAAATCTTTATAATAAGAAATAAAAAAAAATATCAAATAGTATATTTAAAATAAATTTTTTTATTACAATTAGTTAAAAGTTAAAATATATCCATATCTATAGCCAGTGATATATTGCTTAATGTTCTGTGGTACTGGTTTAGATAGCAAAAAATAAGAAACAATAATATTCATTACTTTATTCATTCTGAATTTATAAGGCAATTCCAAAATCTCAATTAGTTCAGAATAAAAGTTCCAGTTGAAAGAATTAGTTTATGTAAAATATTGATAGACCATTCAGCATTTAATTGATTCTAGGTTCCTCAGAACAGTAAATTAAAAATCAAATGATATAGCTATGTTGTCAATAGCATTCTTCAAACATTAGTCTTCCAACTTTTACAAAATATTGATTAATTGATTGGTCACTTTTTATGATAATATCAGTATTTTTAACACAGGCCAAATTCTGTAAATTTTATCAATTACTGCAAAGATCAAGAGAATTTAATTTCCTTTAGTATAGATCCTAGAGATAAAAACTATTTGCAGATAATCATCATTTGAACTTTGTTTTCTGCTTTGCTTATTTAAATATCTGTTGATACGATTAATTCAGATGGTAGCGATAATATATTTGTTGGAGTATGATCATTATGTAGAGCTGCTGAAAAAGAAAATGCTGTAAAGTTGGAGAAAACTGCATATTTTGGAAAGAAAAACACTGCCATTGCAAAATCATAATTGATACATATATTTATTAGATACAACATTGCACAACCACTAAAATATACAATATTAATTATTTTTTGCTCCTGCATATCAAACAGGACACTATCACCATGTTCTACCTATTATTTATATATATATATATACTTTTGTATTACTAAATGTGTATGTGTATATATATATATATATATATATACATACATACTAAAAATTGTCTTCAGGCTAAATTGCTTTATATATATTTGAATAAACTTATTTTTCTTTTAGTTTGTTCCATTGTATC